CAATAAAATAAATCTTCTTCTGGTCTTGGAACTTGGGGTTATTGCAAAGGGCCTGGGTGCAGGGCCCTGCTGGGAGCTGCAGCCACAGCTCAGAGCAGGCCCGAGAGGAGAGAGGGGTAGAGAGGATGAGAGGGTGAGAGAGTAAAAGGGTAAGAGTGTAAAAGGCAAGAGAGCGAAGTTCCTGTTACAATACAATAAATCATCTTCTGTGTTGAATATTCGGATTCTCACTAACCAATCTAGTACAATATACGAATCCTATAGCATTTCCACACAGCCTATGAGAATCATTACATTACTATACTGTGTTACATTTTAAACCCTAAAAACTCCTTTTTGGGCCCCTTCTGCCAAGCTGGCAGGGTCTGCTCTGACCCTTGGGCCTGTCTGCAAGCAGAGGGTGTTGTTCCATCAAAAGAGGATCACCTTCAGCTGGCCACACCATTGTTTTCCCATTGTTCAGTACCTGAGGAATCTCAAAGCTTGCTTTCATTTCAATCTTGCTTATAGTTTCTATATTCTCAAAATCTTTTGCTAGGCAATCATAAGGCTTTCCTGTTTCATCTTCCCCAACACCCAAGCTGTCCCCAAGCTGTCCCAGCCTGGCCCGTGGCACCCCCCTGTCCTGCCGGGGCTCCGCGATCCTTGGGATCATCCTGCGAGCTGCACAGTGGGGTTATGGAAAACTTGGTAGGGATGGAAGTACCAGAGTTCCTCTGGCTCCTGGGCCTTCCTCTGGGTGCTCCTCCAGCTCCTGGGAGCTGGATCTGCCCACGGGGAGAGAACCAGGATCCACCTGTGAGGAGAACACCTTCCTCCAGGTGCTCCTGCTGCTCCTGGGCTCTGGCAATGAAGCCCCACCGGGAAGGGGCCGTGTTTTCCCCGCTGCCTGCAGGGAGGGATCGCAGCCGGGCCCTTCCCCCAGCCCGGCCCACAGGAATTTTTTGCAGCTGTAATTCCTGCCTTGTGCTGCTCCCAGCGCTTCTCCTTCCCCCAAGGTCAAGGCTGTGGGCTCCTGGCGCCGGGGCTGCTTCCCAGCCACAGTTCCGGGGGATGCTGAGGGGCCGGGAAGGGCAGAGGGGACACGGGGAGGGTCATGGAGAGGCAGGGGGAGGACGGGAAGCCTGGAGGAAAAGGGTTTGACAGCTGGAAAACAGGGGAAATCAGTCCTGTGAAGCCCAGGAGAAAATACACTTGTCTTGGTTTGGAAAGACAGGAGTCTGCTAAGGAAGGCAGGAGCTTCCCTTGAAATGGAGAATGTAAATCCTCCCCACTCCTCCAAATTGCTATAAATTTTAAATCAAGGGGGCTCTCAGGCAAAAATATGGGAGCAGGAAATAACAGTTCCTTAATAGAGAAGAAAAATAAACAATGCAGTACACTAGAACAACACTGACAGAGTCAGAACCCAACCTGACACCCTGTGGGTCAGGATATTGCGGGCAGTCCCATTGGAATTGTGGCTGCAGCCCTCCTGCAGGGTCAGGGGTGGTTCTGTTGGAGAAGGGGGTCCTGTAGAGAAGGATATATTCTTCCTCCGAAGATCCAGTGGAAGAAGAGGCAGCTGCTGTTCCTCTGGGGAATCCCATGGAGAAAGCCGTGCTGGTGTCTCAAAACCTCTGGATTATATCTGGGCAGGAATGCTTGGCTCCTCCCTCTGGGCTCACATCTCCCAATGGGATGCTGTAGTTCTTATCAGCCATGCAGTGACATTCAGTAGCTGTTATCAGCAGGTGTCCCCTCCTAGGGAGGAGTGATTGTGGTGACTCAAAGACAGAGATGGAGCAAACTGCCCACTTGACAAAGATAATCTACCATACAGATGGTAATAGAAAACATCTTGCCTTGCAATCTTCAACAACACTTAAGCTGGCTCCGTGGGTTTTGGAGCCATGACAAGATTGAAAAGCTGGAATTGTGAGCTTTGGGACGTGTTGGAAAATGCGGATTTAGGAGAGGGCTTTGCTTGCAACTTCTTCCTTTTCCAGCTCAGTTCCCTCAGCCCCCACCTGCCTTTCCTGGCCCTGACTGTGCCCTCGCTGTGGCACCACGGGTGATGCTGTCACTGGATCTCAGCATCCTCTTTTTGGGGTGGAATGTGGCAGAATTCCTGCCCCAACCCTCTTCCCCCACTCCCTGATTCCCCTTACCTGTCCCAGGGAAAGGAGCAGCCCAAGGTGGGAGTTGCCCCTTTCATTCTCAGGGCCACTCACAGGATGCTCAGTTTTGGAGGACACCTCCTGTTGTGTCCGGGCTTTGCAGAGGAAACCTGGCAAATGGCCCCAAATGGGACTGGGGAGTCCAGGCCGAGGCCTCACTGAGGATCTTTGGCCATTCTTAACTGTAAATAACCAGTGAAAAAAAATCTTAATCTTTAAATTATGCAATTCTGAGTTTGTTTAAAGCTGTGTGTTTCACCTCCCACTGTTTCTGCCTAGTAGGGGAAAAGAATATTAATTTAGGTTAATGGCTTTAAGCTGAAGGAGGGGAGATTTAGATGAGATTTTAGGAAGAAATCCTTCCCTGTGAGGTTGCCCAGAGGAGCTGTGGTTGCCCCTGGATCCCTGGAAGTGTCCCAGGCCAGGTTGGATGGGGCTTGGAGCACCCTGGGATAGTGGAAGCTGTCCCTGCCCCTGTGGAAGCTTTAAGGTCCTTCCCAAGCCAAACCATTCTGTGACTTCCATGATAAATTTGAGGCAGGAATCATCTCCTGGATTTCCCCCTGTACCTTCCTTACACCATGTCTGGGCTGTGCTGGGTGTCATTCCTGCAGCACAAATACCATTCATGGCACAATAAAGACGGGAAAACAGGAGCAGAAATTCACTTTCAGGGATTCAGATTCCCATAAGGACACAGAGGGGAGCAGGGCAGACCCCAGAAGGACCCAGCTCTCCTGCCCTGGGCTTTTTAAACCAGCCCAGAGCACAGCAAGGCAGGGGTTAAGCATTTCCTTACTGGATGAGGACCACACACAGGCCCTGGCTGCTGACACCTTTGCAAAGAGCGTCCTCCTCCCATCTCCAGCCTCTTCCCATGCTTGAGAGCTCATCCCATGCTCCTAGGGAGCTCATCCTGCTTTTTCCAGGAGCTCATCCTGCCATTCCTGGGGAATTCATCCCACCGTTCCCGGGAACTCATCCTGCCATTCCTGAGAGCTCATCCTGCCTTTCCCAGGAGCTCATCCTGCCATTCCAGGGGAGCTCATCCCATCTTTTCTGGGGATCTCATCCCGCCTTTCCCGGGAGCTCTTCCTGCCATTCCTGAGAGCTCATCCTGCCTTTCCTGGGGAGTTCATCCTGCCTTTCATGGGGATCTCATCCTGCCTTTCCCGGGAGCTCATCCTGCCTTTCATGGGGATCTCATCCTGCCTTTCCCGGGAGCTCATCCTGCCTTTTCCAGGGAGTTCATCCCCGGGATCTCATGCTGCCTTTCATGGGGAGATCATCCCGCTTTTCCGGGGAGCTTATCCCTCCTTTCCCAGGAGCTCACCCCGCCTTCCCCGGGAGCTCATCCTGGGGAGCTCATCCCACCATTCTCAGGGATCTCATCCTGCCATTCCCGGGAGCTCATCCCTCCTTTCCCAGGAAGCTCCTCCTGCCTTTCCCAGCCCTGCTCCAGCCCGTGGGATCTGCCACCCCTGCAGGGAGGTCTGGGTTTGGCTGCTGGGTCATGCCCTGCAGCGTCACCGCTGGGATATTTGGGATTCTCTGGGATGTGCTGCACTCATCCCATACCCATGGAGTGGGTGGGCAAGAAGAAAACCCCACAGGCTTTGTGCAAGTCCCCAGCACGATTCGAGTTTGATGTAATCGCCTCAGACTGAGTGGAAATTCTCTGCGAGCCAGGAATCTTTCACCGAAGCAATTAGCAGAGCGTTTTAAAGAACAAATGTGATTGGAATCTCGGGATCCATTTGTGCATGGGGTTGAGGGTGAGTTCCCTGAATGAGTTCTTTGTTTTCCTTCACTTTTTTAGGTTCAGCCAGCACACTTTGAGAGCAAGTGCTCTTCCCTCAGTGCGGTGACAGTCCTTAAAGTGTGTTTGAAATCCAAAGAGGATTTCTGGGTTGCTGCTCACCACTCCCTGCCAGTGCTGTTATTTCCTGCTCTCTTTAAGGGATCAGGTGACCCAGGGCATTCTTGGGGCTGCTCTTCCCAGAGAGTGCTGCCACAGGATAAAGGATTACAATTGATCCTGAGCTGCTTTCCACAGGTACCAGCTGGGAGAACCTCCGAGTGCAGTGCAGAGCTGATGGGGTTAATCCACCCTCAAACCCTTCTCATCTTTTTCTTCTCTTTTCCTCTCTTTCCATCCCACTCCTGCCTTCTCCAGGACCCTGCTTTCCTCATTCCCCTGCCCGCCTCGAGTCCTTCTGCTCCATCCCTTCACTCATCCCCCTCTCCCCTGTGATGGTGTTCACAGGGGTCCACGAATGAGGGAAGAGATGAGGATCTGACTCCATGTTTCAGAAGGCTTGATTTATTACTTTATGATATATATTATGTTACAATTATACTAAAAGAATAGAAGAAAGGATTTCATCAGAAAGTTAGCTAAGAATAGCAAAAAAAGGAATGAATAACAAAGGCTTGTGTCTCGGACAGAGAGTCTGAGCCAGCTGACTGTGATTGGCCATTAATTAGAAACAACCACATGAGACCAATCACAGATCCACCTGTTGCATTCCACAGCAGCAGATAATCAATGTTTACATTTTCTTCTTGAGGCCTCTCAGCTTCTCAGGAGAAAAACTCTTAAGGAAAGGATTTTTTTATAGACGATGTCTGTGACATTCCCCTGCAGGAGCAATGCCGGGGCTGGGGACGAGCCCGTGCTGACCCCTCGGTGCTGGCCTGGCACTGCCACCCCCGCCGGCCTCAGGAGAGCACGGAGCAGCCAAGGATGCCTGCGGAGGGACTCGGGACTCCTCTCTGGACATAAGGGGTGGCCGAGGGAGAGACATGTGGGGACAGCGCCCTCCCAGCCAGCACAGATCTCCCTGCTCCGACACGAGCGGCGCTGACCATGGCCACAGCTTGGAGGCTCCTCACCTGGACCCTCACCCTCGGCCTGGCCGGGGGCACCTTCCCCGGCTTCCCCTTCCAGTCACAAGGTAAGGACGGAGTGGGACGGGATGGGACGGGATGGGACGCGATGGGACGGGACGGGAAGGGACGGGATGGGATGGGATGGGATGGGATGGCCATAAGAGCCTGAATGAGAGATGCAGAACTCCAGGCGGCTCTTCAACATGTAGTTTATTGTATCCAAGATGTTACAGCAGTCCAGGATTGTGGGTGACAGAGCTTGTGCCAGCAGCTGTCATCCCAAGCTGCAGGCAGGCCTGGAGACCCACATCCCTCATTATGGCTCTTACTAATGGTGCCCCACGTTGGGCACCACTGTAAGAGCTGAAATGAGGGATGTGGGACTCCAGGCAGCTCTCCAACATGCAGTTTATTCCATCCAAGAGTTACAGAAGTCCAGGGTTGTGAGTGACAGAGCCTGTGCCTACAGCTGTCTGCTCCAGCTGCAGGCAGGCCTGGAGACCCTTAGTTCAGGTTACATTGCATTATATACTTTTCTTTACTGAGCATTTTAGTACAGTAGAACCAATCTATACCTTAACTTTTATCTATAGCTTATCATAATTACTATAATGACCATATTTATGTTACTATTCTCCAATCACTAAAAGTTAGTACATTACAGTTTAAGTTAGAAGCTGTTTTTTAGTTTTCTTGCAATAGAAAATTCTGAGACTTTTTTCCGACTTGCAACTTTGCTGACTTGTTTGCCTGTGATATCTTTCTGCTTGGTAAAAACATCTTCTTAAAGTAGGTTTATCCTTTGCTCTAAGTGATAAAAACCCCTTCCAACTAACACACCCTTTGCCTCCTTGGTAATCCAGTAAGACTGGCTCAGCAATTCTTTTCTTCTATACCAAAACTTGCTTCCATCTCTATTCTTCTTCAGATTCTACATTCAAAAATCTTTCTGCCAAGCACACATAACTGTGAGACTTTCTTGTCAAACTTTCATCCTTCCCAACAGTAGTGGTTTTGGTTGTGTCCCGAGTGACATCCCTGAGGAGATGCAGTGTCCAGCCCCACAGCACCACCAGCTTCCCACACACCACCCCACCCTCAGCTCTGGACACGTTTTTCCTCCTGGAAATGCTTTTCAGGTCAGGACAGAGCCTCCAGCCCCCAGTCCCAGGTGCTTTGTAGCCACAGTGAGCACAAACCACCCTCTGATTCACTCTTTTCCAAGCCCACGTGGACTGCAAAGAGGCAAAAAGGAAAACAAAACACTTCTGACAGCAAATTTTTCCAAGCCTGAAGTCATTTCTGAGTGCAAAAAGTCACCCTTGTTTGCCCAGCCCCATCACAGGGAGGTGCTGGGATGGAGGAAAAGCTGGAGCATGGGAAGTTAAAGCCCTAATAATTAATTCTGGCCAGAGGTGCCAGGAGTGTTTATGATTGGGAAGAATGGGAGCTCAGCCCTAATCCCAGAAGGTGGAAGGGCTGTCCCATTCCTGGTGGCCAAGGAAACCACTCTGTCAGGCTCCCACATTGGAAAACAGCGGAAAAGGAAACTTTCCAGTGCTGCCCTGTGGTGAGAGTGCAGTTTGGACCTGGCTAAGTTTCTGATGGCTGGGAAGGCTCTGAAGGTGGGGGCTGGCAAAATTCAAAATTCAGCCACCCTGGAGCAGCCAGGCCCCTCCTGCTGGCTTAGGAAACAACAACAAGTAGGATGCAGAAAGCACAGGAAGATTTTTCCAGAAGGAACAGAGGGAAAATCTCCTCCCACGAGGGCTCAGGAGGCTCAAACGCTCCAGGCATGAGGAGTTCAGGAGGACACTCAGTGAGGAGAAGATGTCATGGTCCAGCACATGAATATTTCACATTTCAGCCCAAGCCTCCGGGGCTGAGGGCTGTCAGACAAAGCCAGATTTTCAGTTCCTTTGCTTCTTTTCTGCCTCTGTCAGGGTCAGGATTGAAAGCACTCAAGACAGTATTTCTTGTTCTGACTCAGATGTTTTTAGTTCTTATCTATGTCACAGTCTCACAAACTCTGAGTTTTACAGGACTTCACTCTAACAAACTAAAAATGGATCTCCATCTCTCTCTCTACAAGGCCTTTTAAGGATAAACTGTCCAATTAAGAAATGACACCTAAATTATTTTTAATTTTAACCCAATAACCAACCACCCGTGGCCCACAATGTGGACTTTTTTATCCAATTACACAATTATCCATTACCTGCAGAGGAAAAAGCTGCATTCCAAAAACTGCTATCCCAAGGCTCTGCAGGCTGCAGTATTTGGGGAATTTCCCAGGGTCCTGCAGGCTGGGCAGAGCCTTGGGATCCCAATTTTTGGAATGCTGTGGCAGGACCATGACCCTCCACCTGCACTGCACTCGGACTGGCATTGCTGGGTGTCCAACTCCGTTTGCCGGCTGTGTCTTGGTTTGGAAAGCCAGGAGTCTGCTAGGGAAGGCAGGAGCCTCCCCTGAAATGGAGAATGTAAACCCTCTCCCTCCAAATTGCTATATATTTTAAATTAAGGGGCTCTCTCAGGCAAAGATATGGGAACAGGAAATAACAGTTCTTTAATAGGGAAGAAAATAAAAAGATAAAATAATACAGCAAACTAAAACAACACAGACAGAGTCAGAACCCAACCTGACACCCTGTGGGTCAGGGTGTTGGCAGCAGTCCCATTGGAATTGTGGCTGCAGCCCTCCTGCAGTGTCAGGAATGGTTCTGCTGAAGCAAGGGGGTCCTGTAGAGAAGGATGTATTCTTCCTCTGAAGATCCAGTGGAAGAAAGAGGCAGCTGCTGTTCCTCTGGGAAATCCAGTGCAGAAGCCATGCTGGTGTTCCAGAATCTCCGGATTATATCCAGGCAGGAATGCTTGGCTCCTCCCTCTGGGCTCACATCTCCCAATGGGACACTGTAGTTCTTATCAGTCATGCAGTGACATTCAATGGCCTCTTATCAGCAGATGTCTCCCCAGAGGGAGGAGTGGAATAGATAAGAGAAACTGCCCACTTGACAAAAGACAGCTGCCATACCGATGGCAAATAGAACACAATTTCTTTTGCAATCCAGGACACCCAGGATCCTGCAGGCTGGGCAGAGCCTTGAGATCCCAATTTTTGGAATGCCATGGCAGGACCATGACCCTCCCCCTGCCCTGCACTCGGGCTGGCATTGCTGTGTGTCCAACTCCCTTTGCAGGCTGCATTTCCAATACGTGTCCTTCCCTCCCCAGAGGAATTCCTCTCCAGCTTGGATCACTATGAGATCGCCTTCCCCATCCAAGTGGACCAGAACGGCGATTTCCTCACCTTCGACATGCGCCGCCAGCTGAAGCCGCGGCCGCGGCGCTCGCTGCCCTACGAGCCCTCGGAGCAGCAGGTCTTCTACAAAGTCTCTGCCCACCACACCCAGTTCCTGCTCAACCTCACCCTGCACTCCAACCTGCTGGCCGAGCACTTCACTGTGGAGTACTGGAAGCGGGATGGCATGGACTGGCAGCACGACTTCCACGAGGACTGCCACTACGCCGGGCACCTGCAGGACCAGTACCTCAGCTCCAAGGTGGCCATCAGCAACTGCAACGGGCTGGTGAGTCTGCCTTGCCTTGGCTCGGCTTGATGGGGGCAATGCCAGCTGCTTTGGTCATCCAGCAGGTGGATCTATTATATTGTATTAATTATATATTATACATTATACATTATATATAATATATTATATATTATATACAAATTTTATATTATATAATTATTATATATAATACATTCTATTATGCTATATTTATTTATTTATAATATAATATATTATACTTGATTTTATATGTATATATTTTATATTATTTTTATATATTATATATAATATTTTATGTTTAAAATATTATATATAATATTTTATATGAAGAAAGTATACAAAACATATGTATAAATTTTATATACAGTATAATATTAATATGTTGATATAAATATATTATTTTATATAATTTTATATTAATACCATATATTATATAAAAATATGTATAATATCTATAAAATACATATAAAATTTTTATAATATAGATATTATATTTTTATATACATACTTATTTTTTATTTATTATATTTTATATTTAATATTCCACACTGTCATTATGATCAGCAGAGGTGCAGATATCCCTCAGACATCCATAGGTGTTCCTGATCTCTGCTGATGTCTGTGTCACTTCCAGTCCAGTTTCTGGGTATTTTCCCATTTATTTTGGTTGGAATGGGATAATCCTGGCTCTATGGGGATACCCGGACTTGAATCTCAACAGGTTTTTCCAACAGCAAAGAATGTTTTGCTGTGCTGGTGAGGAAGAAGTGAGGGAGGACAGGGATTTCACAGAGCCACAAGTGCATCCAGATCCTTACAGCAGTAGATGCATTCCTGGGCATCCCATGTGCTTCTGTCCATGTTTCAGGAGCTAAAAAATGCTGCTTCTGAGGGAAAAAAAAATTAAATAATCGGTTTTTCAATATGAAAAATGAAACATCAAGAAGGGAGCAAGGTGGCATTTCCTCAAAACCAGCAAGGCTGCAGGAAGAAGGGTGGGAATGGTTGATTTTCCAAGTCCTGATAGCTCAAATTGAACATCCCAGTCCTAAATATCAGCAAGGAATCTTAGTGGTGGACATCAGTGCAAGAACAGCTGAGCTCTGGAGTAGATTGCTTGGAGAGAGCGAGATCTTGGAAGATCTTTAGGAACAGGCCAGACAAAAGCCTCTCAAAAACCCTTCAGGTATGATTCATTAGCTCTCCCAGCCCTGGGAATAGACTGAGGGCTTCCATCCCTATTTTTCTGTGATTTTCTGATATTTCTGGCTTGCGCAGCACATTCCCTGAGCTGCCAGATGGAGGGATGGAGCAAACATACCCCGTGTGTGGATCGCAAGGCTGATGGCTCCCTTGGAGAGGTAGAAAAACCTCTTTGGGCCAGGTTCATATTTCTGCTCCAGCCCCACCTCCTGGAAGCATTCAAAGAGCTTTCAAAGGGGAATGAATTCCCATTTGATTTATTGCTGGGTGACCCTGCCAGAACAGTGCTGTGGCTTATTAACAGAAAATGAGAATCTGACTCATTTTATATCACAGAGTCTGAAGTTTCCAGCTCACAGCCAACAACCCCGAGCTGCACAAACCCCTGAGCTGCACAAACCCCTGAGCTGCACAAACTTCCAGAGCCCTTTGTTTGGACATGGGAGCTCTGCTCCAGTCCCAGGGAATTTCGTGGTGCTCACAAAGGCTGAACTGGCCCTGCAGCCCTTGGAACTGGGAGAATTCCATCCCCAGGCCCTGTTTAGCTCTGGAGAGGCACCAAGGGCTGTCTGGAGGAGAATGCAGCCAGGCACAGAGAGGGACAGAGGGTCATCCAACGAGTTCTCCTCTGCCTGAACTCTGTCCTTCTGCCCTCCAGAGTGATGGACACAGCGAGAATGGGGGAGGAAGGCTTTGGGGTCACTGAGGACAGTGGGGTTGGGGATTGGAGCAAGAGGAGTCTGGAATGTTTTTAGCTGGATTTGGGCAAGAGGAGTCTGGAATGTTTTTAGCTAGAGGTAGAGGTTTTTAGGAAGAGAGGAATGTTTTCAGCTAGGTCTGGAATGTTTTTAGCTAGAGAGGGGGCTGGATTTGCCATGAGAGATGTTTTGCAGCGCTCTGGGTGACCAGGAGCTGCTGATCCACTCGTGCCATCCCTCATGCCCAGCAGGTTCTGCTCCAGGAGGGCATCACCCATCCTGGAAGGGACAGGAGAGGGCCCCAGGTGCAGGTTCCTGCTGAGGGGGCACTGCACTGCCCCACCTTTGCTGCATGGGCACCTGGGCGCTGTGGTGGTGACTGGGCACAAACTGGCACCTGAGCTGGGCATGAAATGGGACCTGAGCTAAGCCATCCTCCTGCTCTCCAACTCCCATATCCCTCAGGAACTCCCATGCCTGCAAGGTTTGGTTTTGAACCACTTTGTGTCAGAGGAACAGCCAAAAAGCCAAATCTTCATCAGACAGTCCCAGACTGGTTTGGGTTGGGATGGACCTTAAAATTCATCTCATTCCACCCCCTTCCACGGCAGGAACACCTCCTACTGTCCCAGGGTGCTCCAAGATCTGTCCAACCCAGGGATCCAGGGGCAGCTTTTCTGGGGAGCCCCCTCATCCCAGCATGAACAGGAGTGCCTGGAGGGACCCAAGCACAACATTCCTTGATGTGGACACCACATTCCAAACTTCTGGTGTTGCTCAGACCTTTCAGGTCAAGGGAATGTTGCTGTGAGGGTGGAGAGGAGGGACCCTGCAAGTATCTGGTGGGTTTGGTGATGATCCCACAGGGATCTGCTCCTCCTGGCTGTCACTGCCTCACAGGACAGGTGAGGAGGTGAGGAGGAGGATGGACCCAGATGTGGAGGATGGACCCAGATGGGAAGGATAGATCCAGATGGGGACATGACAAAGATGGGGAGGATGAACCCAGATGGGGGGGATGGACCCAGGTGAGGAAGATGGATCCAGGTGAGGAGGATGGACCCAGATGGAGAGGAACAGACCCAGATGAGGAGAGTTGGACCCAGATAAGGAGGAATGGACCCAGATGAGGAGGAATGGACCCAGATGAGGAGGAATGGACCCAGATGAGGAGAGTTGGACCCAGATAAGGAGGAATGGACCCAGATGAGGAGGAATGGACCCAGATGACCCCTCAGTCACACAGCTCTGGCCCCAGGCCATGGCTATGCCTCTGTCAAGTGTGGTATGAGCTGACAGTGCAAACCCTCCCCGCACTGCAGCTGACCTGTGTGAATCACACACAGGATATCCAGTGCAGCTCCCCCACAAACCACAGAGCTCCCTCAGGACCTCTCACCACCCCCTTCACCAGCCCTGCGTCACGGCCATGTCCAGCCCTCACAGCTCAGTCCTTGGAGTCAGCACTGGGACAATTCCCAGGCTCCTGTGACATCTAAGCCTTGCTGCTGGAAGGTGAGACGGAGTAGAAATTCTCCAAAGTAGAAATCCATTTTGATTTAGGTGAAATGTACATCTTTGAGTCTGTTGCTAGAAAACATAGCTATGTAGCCTGACTGCAGAACCTAGGCTCAGAGAAGTTGCTTCAGTGAAGGACAGAGATAAGGGGGAAAGAGACAAAGGGTGATAAAGAGAGACAGGGAGACTAGAGGTAGAGGTTTTTAGGAAGAGAGGAATGGTTTTAGCTAGGTCTGGAATGTTTTTAGCTAGAGGGTTTTAGGTTAACCTGCTGTGACAGCAGGTCAACCTAACCTAGGAATTCATACTGGTAAAGAAGAACTAGCAGCAAATGTCACTCGAAATTCATAAAAATGAATATGTATGAACCGATTGTGAAATTTTATGCATATGTATTTGAGAGGGAGATAAAAAGAGACCTGAAGTTCCCAGAAGTACGCATGTCTTTTAAGGAGAGCAATCTCCACGTGCATCCGGCACTGTAATAAACATACCGGCTTTACAACTTTCACAAAGTTGTGGAGTTTTTGGTTATCTCCACAAAACAAAGGTGCCAGGCAGGCGTGGAGCCTCTGCAGAGCTGGAGTGAGAGCATCCCTTTGGCAGCAGGATGGATTTGGGGCAGGACTCGCTCTGCCCCCGGGCTGGGGATGACCTCCTTCCCCCATCCCACACCACAAAGCTTTTCCAGCTGGCTCTGCCGGGCTCCCCTGGCCTCGGGAACCTCACAGTGCCTCGCTTGTGCTTGGAAAGGTGGAGCTGAGCCAAGAGCAGCAGAGCCCGGGGCAGGAGGAAATCCCCCAGCACTCGGGAATGCTCACACAGTGAGGCATTGAGCCTGGCCAGGGAGGGGACAGGGGCAGCCCTGGCAGGGAGTGACATGTGACAGTGTTCACAGGGATCTCAGGATGAGGGAAGAGACGAGGAACTGACTCCATGTTTCAGAAGGCTTGATTTATTATTTTATGATATATATTACATTAAAACTATACTAAAAGAATAGAGGAAAGGATTTCTTCAGAAGGCTAGCTAAGAATAGAATAAGAAAAAATAACAAAAGTTTGTGGCTCGGACTCTCTGTCTGAGCCAGCTAAGCTATGATTAGCAATTAATTAGAAACAACTAACGTAAGTCAAAGATCCACCTGTTGCATTCCACAGATTTATGAAAAATCCTTTTCTTAGGATTTTTCCTCCTGAGGAGCTGAGAGGCCTCAGGAACAAAATGTAAACATTGATTATCTGCTGCTGTGGAATGCAACAGGTGGATCTTTGATCGGCCCATGTTGGATGTTTGCAATTAATGGCTAATCACAGCCCAGATGTCTCGGACAGAGAGCTGAGCCACAAACCTTCATTATCATTCTTTGCTATTCTATTCTTAGCTAGCCTTCTGATGAAATCCTTTCTTCTATTATTTTAGTATAGTTTTAAAGTGATATATATCATAAAATAATAAATCAAGCCTTCTGAAACATGGAGTCAGATCCTTGTCTCTTCCCTCATCCAAGAACCCCTGTGAACACTGTCACACCAGAGAAGGGGTTTGGCTCTGCTGGTGGTCTCTGCTTAATCAGCCTTCAGATTTTAAATATTTGGGGTGTTTCCCAAAACCTCTGGGTATTTACCCCTCTCTGCAGCTCTGAGTTCCCAGCTGCTGGGGATGGTCCTGAGCTGTTTTTTGGTTTTTTTGGGGGAGGCTGAGCTCAGAGCTGAGTGCTGCTGTGTTTGAAGGGATTTTGGGGGTCCCACAGGGATCCCACTGAGACCGAGTGGGTGGAATAGGAAACAACTCATTCATAACTCAGCAAGGCAAGGCTGTGATTTCCAGAGGACTTTAGTGAACACAGATGTCCCAAGGCATCCACCACCATCTGGCTGGGTTTTCCTCTGCTCTGTGGCTTCCTGTAGTTCAGTGTTTGTGCAGGATTCCTCCTCAGCTTTTGTCAGTCCCCAGAAATTCAGAGTTAATCAGCAAAAACCCCACCGTGAGAAGCCACCAGGTTCTCTGCACGTCCGTTGTTGCCTCCCCTCTTGTCATAATTGAGATGGAGACAATGCAAAGCAACACACTCCATTTTCAGAAGGCTTCAGACTTGTTTTTATTATAGCATGAATGGTTTTTATACATTTTTATAAAGCTCATTTGGGGTTAATCAGCAAAAATCTCACCTTGAGAAGCCACCAGGTTCTCTGTGCATCTCTGTTATTACCTCCCCTCTTGTCATAATTGAGACAGAGACAATACAAAGCAACACATTCTATTTTCAGAAGGCTTCAAACCTGTTTTTATTATAGCATGCATGCTTTTTATACATTCTTACAAAGCTCATAAGTTTACACTTATTGGTGATGAGAGACAAAGTGTTTATTGAAATAGTTGCAAGTTTTTCTTATTTATCCTTCTTTCTTTCTTGGTTTTTATGTCAGCAACCTTGGTAGAAAATTCTTTCTGATCAAACTTCTCACTGGCTCCCAGAAGTGGCTCTAAAACCTCTTGCACCCCCTTTGTTCCCTCCTGCAGCACGGAGTGATCGTGGCAGATGAGGAGGAATATTTCATCGAGCCCCTGAGCCCTGGAGCCAACGTCAGCATGGGGGAAGAGGGCAAGGGCAGCCCCCACGTGGTGTACAAGCGCTCGTCCCTGCAGTACCCTCACATGGATGCAGCCTGTGGAGTGATGGGTAGGTGCCCCCACCACCTCCTCCTCAAATCCAGCCCAAAACCCCCTGGGGAAATCCTGGCAAAGAACCAAATTTATCTCCTAAATTTGAGATTTTCTTGGGTTTGTTTTTACCTCTTTCTGGTGGTCTGGGCTTTGGGAAGATCCTGTCCTCTCCTACACACAGCAGGGCTTGAAAATTTGTAAATAGAGCATGGAATGGGAGAGGACAAAAAACAAACCTCTTGTTTTTCTTCAGAAGAATCCTCCCAGATTTGGCCAGTTTGCAGAGGATTGGGAAATCACAGCTCACGTGGGCTCAGCACAGCCTTGGCTTTGGGGTTTGTGTCCATGTTGGGATAACTCTGCTGCTGATGTGGAAAAGGCCCTTGGAGGGGGGGATGTGGGGCCTGGCCCGTCACAGGGGGCTCTGGGGGATGTTTGGGGACAATGATGACAGCACATGTCTTGGTTTGGAAAGACAGGAGTCTGCTAAGGAAGGCAGAAGCCTCCCCTGAAATGGAGAATGTAAACCCTCCCCACCCCTCCAAATTGCTATAAATTTTAAATTAAGGGGCTCTCAGGCGAAAATATGGGAGCAGGAAATAACAGTTCTTTAACAGAGAAAGGGGGGAAAAAAGGATAAAATAAACAACGCAGTAACCAAAACAACACTGACAGAGTCAGAACACAACCTGACACCCTGTGGGTCAGGGTGTTGGCAGCAGTCCCGTTGGAATTGTGGCTGCAGCCCTCCTGCAGTGTCAGGGGTGGTTCTGCTGGAGCAAGGGGGTCCTGTAGAGAAGGATGTTTCTGTAGTGAAGGATGTATTCTTCCTCTGAAGATCCAGTGGAAGAAAGAGGCAGCTGCTGTTCCTCTGGGAAATCCAGCGCAGAAGCCGTGCTGGTGTTCCAGAATCTCCAGATTATATCCAGGCAGAAATGCTTGGCTCCTCCCTCTGGGCTCACATCTCCCAATGGGATGCTGTAGTTCTTATCAGTCATGCAGTGACATTCAATAGCTGTTATCAGCAGATGTCCCCTCCTGGGGGAGGTGTGATTGTGGTCAGTCAAGACAGAGATAAGGCAAACTGCCCACTTGACAAAGATAATCTGCCATACAGATGGCAATTGAAAATGTCTTGCATTGCAATCTTCAATAGCACATCAGCCCCATTGCTGCACCTACAGGGCTTTCACCTCCAAAAGGACCCACAAATACCAGTCCTGGCCTCTCCCCATGAGAGCTCCTGGTCCTTGCCCTTCCCACCAGCCTGGCTGGAATTCCTTGTGTGCAGGCAGAGTTTCACCATCTCCCAAAAATGCTGCAGGATGCTCCTCCCTCAGTTCAGAGAGGCTCTGTAGGGCTGAGGGGAGCAGCCATCCCTGCATTTTCATGGATCAGTTTGTGGGAGCAGAGCAGAGCTGGCCCTGATAGCTCCTGACTTCTCTCCAGGCTCAGAGCAAGGTTTTGGGGTCAAAAATCCTGCCAGGAACTGGGAGTGACTGGGGGGGACTGGGACGGTCTGACACCCTGTTTGGGTGTCACTTCAGGGTGTCCATCCCTCACTGCCCCAGCTGTGACACTTGGCCAGATGAGGAGGCACTGTCACCTTTTCTGAGTGTCCCCAGAGCCACCAGCACCAGGGTGTCCATCCCCAGCAATGACACTTGGCCAGATGAGGAGGCACTGTCACCTTTTCTGAGTGTCCCCAGAGCCACCAGCACCTCTGGAGCTACCCTGTGCTTCCCTGGCCCTGCCCATCCATCTCCCAAAGCCCTGCTGGATGCAGACTCCCCTCCTGCTGACTCCTTGCCACATTCCCCAGCTTCCAGAAATAATTCAGCCCTCTCCTAATTGCTTCTTGGAAAGCAGAGTTGTGCAGGGGAAGCCAAAGTTTAGAACAACCACAGCACAACAGCTCCAGCAAGGCCACCCTGTGGCTGGACATGCCCTGTCCTGCCCTGCCCTGCATTCCTGGGCTCTGAGTACCCCCAGGAGCTCCTCTGGATCCCTAAAGGAGCTGGAGCTGGGAGGGTTTGGGGCTGCTTGAGGTTTTGGGGCTGCCTGAGGTTTTGGGGCTCCCTGAGGTCTGCCCCATGACTGGATGTGATGAACCTCAGAGCAGGTTAGGAAACCTAACCTAACCTGGGAGGGACTGGGAGCGATTGGGAGGGACTGGGACAGAGCGACTTTGTACTGGGAGCGGGCAGCTTCTCCCAAGGGCATCCCAACCACCCCAAGGGTATCCCAACCATCCTGAGGGCATCACAACCATCCTGAGGGGATCACAGCCATCCTGAGGGGATCACAGCCATCCTGAGGGCATCCCAACCATCCCAAGGGCCTCACAACCGTCCCAAGAGCATCCCAACCATCCTGAGGGCATCCCAGCCATCCCAAGAGCATCCCAACCATTCCAAGGACATCACAGCCATCCCAAGGGCATCCCAACCATCCCAAGGGCCTCACAACCATCCCAAGGGCATCACCACCATCCTGAGGGCATCACAACCATCCTGAGGGCATCCCAGCCGTCCCAAGGGCATCACAACCATCCCAAGGGCATCACAGCCATCCTGAGGGCATCACAACCCTCCTGAGGGCATCTCAACCACCCTGAGGGCATCACAACCATCCCGTTCCCTCCCCAGATGAGAAGCCCTGGAAAGGGAGGCACTGGTGGCTCAGGACACTGAAACCCTCCCCGCTGAAGCCCTCGGGCAACCACAGCCAGCGGGGGCAGCTGCCCCTGAAGAGGTCGGTGAGCACCGAGCGCTACGTGGAGACCCTGGTGGTGGCTGACAAGATGATGGTGGGCTACCATGGCCGCAGGGACATCGAGCAGTACATCCTGGCCATCATGAATATTGTAAGTGTTACACCCACACCAGGAGCTTCACGGGCTGGGGGAGAATTCCTGTTCATCACCCTGTCAGGGAAATTAATCCACAAATGGAAAATTAATCCACAAACGTCAGAGGTCTATGTCCAAAAAGGGGAAAGAGGAGTCTTTTTTACTTTATTCAAATAAAGGAACAGGACATAGGGCCTCTCAAATTTTTGGAGGATGCATCTACCTTTTTGTCCCAATTTCCCTTCTCTCTTTCCCCATTTCTGAGGTACTTGAGAGGTTCAGACCCAATACACCTGATACCAAAGATTCCCCCGTAATGTATAACCCTCCCTCTTATTTTTTAATTCTTATGGAATTTAGGGGATTTTCCCCATTTCTGAGGTACTTGAGAAGTTCAGACTTCCTGATACACCTGATACCAAAGATTCCCCTCTAATGTATAACCCTCCTTTAAAATTTTTTTTTAGGGGTTTTCTCCATTGTTTCTTTCATCTTTCAATATCCAATTTAATTTATCAGCAAACCTATGGTTTGTTTGTGAAGGTAAATATCATTTGCCACTCATCAATCAGTGGAATCCTTCCTGTGGTTTCTTTTACCTCCTAGTGCTGGTTTTATCTACCAGCAGCTCCACAGTTTGTTTGTAAAGGCAAACCTATCATTCCTCTCAGTCCCAAAAGGAGAAAGCGAAAAGGAGATTCTCCTGCATAAAGCAGGATGGGGAAATGGGATCTGTTCCAGCCAGGCTGGCAGTGGCTTCTTCCCCCACCCCCGGCTCAGAACAAGGTGTGAAAAACGCCAATCACTTATATTTAAAATTTTAAAAGTTTAATAGTAATAAAATGGTTATAAAAATAGTGATACAATTAGAGTAATAATAATTTGGACAAATTTAATTAGGACAATATGAGACAATAAATACAAAGAGTTACAGACGTCTGGGCGCCTTTTTTTGGGCAGCACGAGGCCGAAAATGGACACAGTTAACAAAGGATTAACCCTTAAAAACAACAGCCTGTTGCATATTCATACACCTCATACATGATGCATAAATTCTATTAAAATACAGGATTCTGTCTGGTCAGTGTCAACTTCTTCCTCTGAATCCTAACAGCACCTTCGAGGCGGGAAGAAGTTAATTTCTTCTGATAAGAGGGCAATAAATTCTCTTTTTCTGAAAGATTCAGGTGTCCTGTGGCTGCTCTCTCACTGCAAGTCCTTTCTTTAAAACAAGTATCCTACATCGCATAGTTTCTATTTTAAGATTTTTTTGTAACCTAAAACTATATTTAACACTGTACTTAAGAGAATTAATACAGCATCACTTTCTAACACAACACATATAATATTCATTTGAATATTTGCGAAAAGCCAATCATAAAATACACGCATTTTTCACAAAGGTTTTGGGGTCAAAAATCCTGCCAGGCTGGCAGCGGTTTCTCTCCAATCTCATAGCAAGGTTTTGGGGTCCCAAAATCCTGCCAGGCTGGCAGTGGCTTTTTTCCTAGGCTCAGAGCAGGTTTTGGGGGTCCAAAATCCTGCTAGGCTGCTGCTGCTGAGCAGAGGGACCCCGGTGGGACCCCGGAGCCTGCAGAGGTAAACTCTGTCCTGTCTGACCCGGGGCTGGGAGAACAAAAGCCTTTCTTTGAACAGCATCTCTCAGCTGAAATTAGCATTGCAAACGCGGCCAGGCAAGCTGAGAACCACATGGGAAAGCAGAAGGACGGGCAGCTCTCACGCTTGGGGGCTGAGCAGAGAGAGGGGCTCAGAAATGCCCCCAGAGCTCTGGTTCTGGTGTGGGGCTCTGCAGGCGGCAGGGTACCAGGCTGGATGCATTAACAGCCCTGCTGGATCCTCCTGTGAGGTGAGATGGGTTTGGAAGTTATCCATCAACCCTCTGAAAGCCCTTCTGTGACGGCTCTTTGTCCCGTCCTCCGCAGGATCGCTTTGCACGCTTTGCATTTCTAAAGCCCCGACGCCAGATTTCCAAACAATCCCGGTTTCATCTGCTCCGAAACAATCCTGGGGGATGCTGTGGCCTTGCCGATCCCCACCGAGGGATGCTGTGCCCTCCCCTCAGCAAAGCTCCAACATCTGTGGGGATTTTGGGGGATTTTGGAAATGCCATCCAGTGGGGATTTTTGGAGATTTTGGAAATGCCAGCAGTGGGGGCTGCCCTGAAATAATAAACAGGGCAGTGTGACGGTGTTCACAAGGGTTTTCAGGTGAGGGAACAGACGAGAATGTTGACTCTATGTTCAGAAGGCTTGATTTATTTTTTTATGATATATATTACATTAAAACTATACTAAAGAATGGAAGCAAAGGTTTCATCTCATAAGGCTAGCTAAGCTAAGAATAGAAAAGAATGATAACAAAGGCAGCTGCCTCAGACTCTCTGTCCGAGCCAGCTGACTGTGATTGGCCATTGATTACAAACATCTAACATGAGACCAGTCACAGATGCACCTGTTACATTCCACAGCAGCAGACAATCATTGTTTACATTTTGTTCCTGAAGCCTCTCAGCATCTCAGGAGGAAAAAATCTTAAGGAAAGGTTCTTTAATGAAAAGATGTCTGCGACAGGGCAGGAGACTTTTTCTCCTTTTTAATGCCTTTATTAAAAGTGATCAGCTCAAGGTTGAGAAGCTCGAGGGATGGATCCTCAGTTTCTGTCATTGCTCCCAGGTTTACTCGGAGGAGAAGGAAAGTCCAGCTTTGGCCACTTTAGGGCAGAGCTGGGGGTCCTGCCCTCCAAGAGCAATGGGTCTGCACGCCGTGTTTTTCAACTTTTGAGTTTTCCAGTCTCCTGGTCTTGGTTTCAGATGAGGTCTTAGCTCAGGGTGAGAGGCTACAAAGGTTTTCAGCATCTCTGCAGGCTCGGTACTTTGTTTTTCACGTCCAGACATCACTCTGATCTCTTAATTCTGTATTGGTTCGTTGTTTTTGGGGTCTTTTCGGTAAGTTTGGTGGGGTATATTCCCATGGCATGCTGGTCTCGAGGTTATTTTGCATCCTCTCTGATGCCCCCACCATGTTCCCTCCTCTCACCGTCCAGGGAGAAGGACAACTTAGCCCCAGGCAGGGCCTTACTGATACAAAAGGATCAATTAACAAGAACAACCAGTGATTACAATAACAAACAGGTAGAACTTCACCTTGGCAGCAACTGGTTTAACTGGTTCTGCAACCCTTTTTTCCCTTAAAAAATGGGCAAATTTTTTATTTATAATAGGGATTTTGGAAATGCCAGCGGTGGAGGCTGTCCCACCTGGACTGAGGGATTTTGGCTTCACTGCTCTGGGACAGCGAGCCCTGATTGTGGTTTTGGGGATTCTGATACTCACGTGATGGTGTGGGGTCCCATTCCCGTTCTTGCTTCCCAAAAATGTTTGGTTCAGACCCCTCATTGCAGTGCCCAGTCCTTCCCAGCTCGCCTGGCCACAGGGCTCATTTTTAAGACTCCTCTTTTCTTGTTTCTTGGAGGTCAGGTTGCCAAACTTTTCCAGGACTCGAGTCTGGGCAATATTGTCAATATCCTGGTCACCAGGCTGATCCTGCTCACCGAAGATCAGGTAAGCTGGGCTTTGCTGAGCCTGTCCTGTGTCTGCACTTCCCTTCAGGAGCTCCGTGTCCCCCCTGGATGTCACTCCCAGGAATTCCCCCCAGTGACATCCTCCCAATGCCCCCTGAGGACTGGACTGAGCAGACCTCTGGGAGTCTGAATTTTTCCATGATAAGGTGACTTTAGAGAGGTTTAAGCAGCTTTAGTTCTCCTAAAGTGACGTTGGAACCCTGGCTGCTGAGAATTTCAGACTTTCTGTGCTGCCAGGCACTGACCCCCCAGAGAACTCTGCATTTGACCTGAGGCTGTGGAGAAGCTTCCAAAATGGAATGACAGAACTGGGATTGTGGGTGTGGAATTTGAATAGAAGTGTGTGATATCACAGGGTGGGAAACAGAGTTGGAGGTTTTAGAATGCAGTAATATATATATAAAGCAAGATGGAGGTTTTAGGGCAGAGGCTGGTCCTTCTTCTTCAACTTCTTCTTCTTCACCTTCTCCTTCTCCTTCTCCTTCTCCTTCTCCTTCTCCTTCTCCTTCTCCTTCTTCTCCATGGGTTTGGGTGGCTTTGTGTAATTGGATAAAAAAGTCTGCATTGCAGGTCATGGGTTGTTGGTTATTGGGTTAAAAATAAAAATAATTTAGGTGTCATTTCTTAATTGGACAGTTTATCCTAAAAAGGCCTTGTAGAGAGAGAGATGGGGCTCCATTTTTGGTGTGTTAGAGTGAAGTGCTGTAGAGCTCAGGGTTTGTGAGACTGTGGCATAGTCTAATACACTAAATTAATAAACATCTTAGTCTAATACACTAAACTAATAAACATCTGAGTCCAAAGAAGAAATATCGTCCCATGATTTAATCCCAACCCTGGCCAAAAGTTAAGACTAACAAAATCCCATTTTTCTTGCTTTCCCATGGCCTCCATGAGGAATTGGGGCTGTCTGCAGTGGTGTCAGTGCTCTGCTGGCACGGAGTGGGCAGTGCCTTCCGCCCCAAAGCTTCCCTGGGAGCACCCTCTGCCATTGCTTCCATTGCAGCCCACGCTGGAGATCAACCACCACGCCGGGAAATCCCTGGACAGCTTCTGCAAGTGGCAGAAATCCATCGTGAACAGGAACGGCAACGGGAACGCCATCCCGGAGAACGGCATCGCCAACCATGACACCGCCGTGCTCATCACCCGGTGAGCCCTGTCCCCTGGGGTGGCACTGTGCCCTGGGGGTGGCACTGTGCCCTAGGGGTGGCACTGTCCCCTGGGGTGGCACTGTCCTCTGCGGGTGCCAGCAGTCCCAGGCTCCAAGGTCATCCAAGGCTTCCTGGAGTCTCCATGGGTGCAGATTATTTCAGTTCAGATTGTTATCACCCTCCAGTTCAGTTTATCAATCTCCACTCCAGTTTATCACCCTGCACCCCAGTTTGTTATCAATATCCACCCCAGTTTGTTATCAATCTCTACCTTCACTTTTGTTATCAATCTCTACCCCAGTTTGTTGTCACCCTCCAGTCGTCCCTTGGTCTTTGCTGGGATGGATGGATGGATGGATGGATGGATGGATGGATGGATGGATGGATGGAAGGATGGTCAAAAGGAGGACACAGAGGATGTCAGGGACGGTGGAAGGAATGGCAGAGCAGCTGGAAGGGCCACAGGATGCTGCAGGGATGGAGGGCACAGGGAGTGCTGAGTCCCCAAGTGCTGCTGGCTGTGTCCAGGATTGTCCCTCCAGTCATCACAAATCCCTCCTTGGACAGATGCAAAACACTCCAGGAGAGGCCAAAGGCAAATCCAACATGATTTTGTGCCTTTCCCTCCTCTCCTTCAGAGAAAGAAAGTCAGGAAATGAACGTGCTGGTGAGGGGAGCCTCTAGGTGGGAGCTGCTTCCTTTATCCATGTGCTGCTCTCCTGCCCCAGCTCCAGCACGGTCCTGATGAGACCCCACAGAGGAGCGACAAAAAGGCCCCTCATCCCCAGATTTTCCCCTTCCCGAGGGGGCTGCAGCTTTTTCCTGCCCTCCCTCCCCACATTTGTGAGGCAAACGCCGGCTCCGAGCTCTCCATCCTCCCTCCTGATGTTGGAGCCAGCCCGGAGCCGCTGCTGAGCCCGGACAGCGCCCGGCGCATCCGGCCCCGGCCCCAATAAATTCCCGGTGTCCCGATAAGATCTTGCTGAGCTCCGGGCTTTTTTTCCTCCTGCAGGGACGTGTCAAAGCAGAGCCTCCGAAGGCTTTAAAGGCATTGGCCCCAAACAAAGCAACAAATGTTTTGCGCTCTGCTCGGTTTCCTGCCGAGAGGAGGGGAGAGGTTTGGGCACTTCCAGGGGCCAAAGGGACAGGAGCCGTCCCCGGGAATGTGTCGCACTTAACCCTTCGTGTGCTGCCACTTCTCATTGCCCGCCCTCATCCCCGAGGGGTCAATGGGGAGAGCAGTGCTGGGGGGTCCTGCCTGGTGTCCCCAAACACACTCTGGGGTCACAATCCTCAAACCTCACCCCATGGCTGTCTCAGACCTTCTCTGGGGTCACAATCCCCAGTCCTGCCCACCCCATGGGTGTCCCCAAACCTGCTCTGGGGTCACAGTCTTCAGTCTTTAACCTGTGGGTGTCCCCAAACCCACACTGGGATCACAATCCTCAACCCTTAATCCGTGGGTGTCCCCAAACCCACACTGGGGTTACAATCCTCAATGCAACCCCAACCTGGCTCTGGGGTGTCCCAGCCCAGCTGCCCCCTGGTCCCCCAGCTGATCCCACCCTCCCCAACTCTCAGCCTGGCCCCCTTCAGTCCAGATTGGCAAACCCCAAATGTTGACCTTTGCAAGGAAATGAGAATATTCCCTCTCTAACCCAAACTGCTCTCTTTTGGAGCTTCCACCTCTTCCTATTTTGAGGTTGCTGTGTTTCCATCTGGAGGAGGTTTTTCCTCTTCTTGTTTTACCTTTCCTTGTACAAACAGTGGATTCCTTCGTGCAATGGCTGGAAGTCGAGGCCAGGAGCAGAGGGAAGAGTCACCTTGAATCCACCCAGATTGGATTTGTTTGGAAAATTCTCAGTAAAGAACTGAAAAAAAAATCACTTGAGTGTTTTCATGAAACCACAGTGGGATTTGAAATGGAACGTGTTTTCAAACTCAAATGTTTTCTTTATTTTTAGTTTGTTTTTAATCAGAATTTCATATGCCCCATCCCTGGCAGTGTCCAAGGCCAGGCTGGACAGGGCTTGGAGCACCCTGGGGTAGTGAGAGGTGTCCCTGCTGTGGCAGGGGGTGGGATTAAATTATTTTTAAAGTCTTTTCCAACTCAAACCATGCTGGGATTCTGTGTTTCTCTGTTTGATTGATGCAATTTCCTGCAAGAGACCTGAGCTGACAGAGCAGAGGTTGGCCCTGTCCTCTCCCCCCTGTGTCTGATGCCTCCCAGGAGTGCTGGGGAGCAGAGCTGGATCCACCCAAACCCAAAGAGCTCCAGGTCTGGAATAACCTTGGCATAACCTTGGACAAGGAATAACCTTGTCCCTGCTGATTTATCAAATCATTAAGGTTGGAAAAGGCCTCCAAGATCATCAAGTCCAACCTTTGAATGAATCCCCTTGCCCTGAACCACATCCTGAAGTGCCACATCTGCTCATGGTTTTAACACTTCCAGGAGTGATGACTCCACCACTGCCCTGGGCAGCCCATTCCAATACCTGATAATCCTTTCCATGAAGAAATTTTCCCTAAAATCTGATCTAAACCTCCCCTGGCACAGCTTGATGCTGTTTTCTCTCCTGTCCCTGTTCCCTGGAGCACAGCCCGAACCCCCCAGCTGTCCCCTCCTGTCAGGAGCTGTTCAGAGCCACAAGGTCCCCCCTGAGCCTCCTTTTCTCCAGGCTGAGCCCCTTCCCAGCTTTCTCAGCCCCTCCTGGTGCTCCAGACCCTTCCCCAGCTCCGTTCTCTTCCCTGCTCGTGTTCTACCACCACATCAAAACCAAAGCTCTGACCTGGCTCAGCTCTGCCATTAAAACCCTCAGTGAATCTCAGCCTGGGCAAAGTGAGTGCTGTCCTACATGTCACCATTGGTATTTCCATCCCAGAATATTTCACGGGCTGATTTGGAGTGGTTTGGATGTGAACACATGGACGAAATGAAAACCCCAAAATTAGAAATGTCTGTAATGCTGCCTTGTCTCCTTCACAGGTACGACATTTGCATCTACAAGAACAAGCCCTGTGGCACCCTGGGTGAGTGGAAATCTGACACCCCGTCAGTACACAGAACTTTGGGAATGTGATGAGGATGGGCTGTGCCACCCCTCTTCCACCTGTGCCACTCCTTTTCCAGCTGTTCCATTCCCTTTCCAGCTATGCCATTCCCCTTTCCACCTGTGCTATCCCCATCCCACCTGTGTCATTCCCTTTCCAGCTGTGCCATCCCTTTCCAGGTGTTCCATTCCCCTTTCCCAGCTGTTCCGTTCCCCTTCCAGCTCTCCATTCCCTTTCCAGCTGTTCCGCCCCCATCTCACCTGTTCCACCCATTCCCACCTGTGCCATCCCCATCCCAGCTGTTCCATTCCCTTTCCAGCTGTTCCATCCCCATCCCAGCTGTGCCAGCCCCTTTCCCAACTGTTCCATTCCTTTCCCCAGCTGTGACTCCCTTTCCCACATTTTCCATCCATTCCCACCTGTGCTATTCCCTTTCCAGCTCTTCCATCCATTCCCACCTGTGCCATCCCCATCCCACCTGTGCCATCCCTTTTCCCCCTGTGCCATCCCCATCCCACCTGTGCCATCCTTTCCCACCTGTGCCATCCCTTTCCAGTGAAGGTGCAGCTCCTGCCCCAGCACCAGACCAGTTCTTTCCAGCCTCCTGTCCCTTCTGTGAGCACTAAACCAGCAGCCCTGAGCTCAGCTGGGCCCTGGAACTCCTCTGTTCCACCCCTGGAACAGCTCCAGCTCCATCCTGCTGATTAAGAACCACTCACATTTTTAGGCTTATCAGTGGCCTGCTGGAGTTCCTGGCTGAGCAGGGAGGAATTTGACAGTTTTGTGATGACTGCAAAGGGAGTTTTTATTGTCACAGCCCTGTCTGGCTGCAGCTCCTCCTTTGTCTCGTCCTGGTCTGTACTGGGCAGGCAGGGAGGGATTTCTGCTCTGCATCACTGTGGGGAGAGCTGGGTCTCTGACCTGGTGGATCTCTGACCTGAGGCTGGACATGCTGGAATGGCTCAAATCATTCCCCTGGCACAGCCAGGCCCTTCCCTGGCTGGGGCAGGGGCACAATTTGTGCAGAGGGAATTTTCTGTCACAATTCAGGGGGAATATCAGCATCACCCAGTCCTCCAAATGAGCCATGCTAGATTCCTGGTGGATGCCAGGCATAACCAAGGTTGGATCCTGGCTGGCTCAGCTCTCCCTGACCAGGTTTGGATGCCCCAGAGCTGGTGCAGCCCATCTGAGATTCCCTCACCAGGGCTGTGCCAAGGATTGCTCCCCTTTGCACCATTTGGGTACAAAATTCAGAGGATTTTTAGCTTTTCTGAGCCTGTCACTGTTAATTCACCATCAGTGCTGAGTGACCATGTCCTGTAAGAGCCATGAGTCCCTCCCAAAGCTCAGTGCAATGGTGAGAAGGAACTGTTTAGAGTAGAATAAAGTGATCCCCCAGCTGGGAAATAATGTTCATTTACTCCAATGGTTTCAGAAAGCTGAAAAATTGCTTCATTAAGCTATACTGTATTACACTAATACTATACTAAATTACATCTTAAAGAGATGTACACTAATACTATACTAAATTACATACTAAAGAGATACTATACTAAAGAATACGAAAGAAAAACCCGTGACTGTCTCCAGACAGTGGATCTAATTGGTCAAGGAATAAGACAACCTTCACTGGTGTCCAATTAACCAATCACTCTGGGTGAACAATCTCCATAACACATTCCACATGTGCCAAACAACAGGAGCAGCAAGTAGAGATAAGAATTGTTTTCTCTTCTTTCTCTGAGCTTCTCACTGCCTTCCCAGGGAAAATCCTTGGGGAAGTTGTGCCTGCTGCAGTGAAAAGGCTGCAGCCACAGATGCTTAGTGCTGCAGAGCATGAAGCACATCAGGCAGCCCCAAACACCCCCAGGTCCCCTCAGCCACCCTGAGGTGGCCCTGTGTGACAGCTCTGTCCCCTCCCCAGGCCTGGCCCCCGTGGGGGGGATGTGTGAGCGGGAGAGGAGCTGCAGCATCAACGAGGACATCGGGCTGGCCACGGCCTTCACCATCGCCCACGAGATCGGCCACACGTGAGTGCGGCACCCAGCAGCTCCTGCTGCTCTGGCCCTGCCACCAGGGGCTTGTTACAGACACATATAATCTATAATCTATTATAGATTATTATATAAATATATATACACAATATTATATATCCAACATTATATAATATATGTAATAATTATTAATTATTACATATTCTAGAATATATAATTTTATATATTTTATATACTATATAAAATATTATATATAATGATATTATATTATATATATTATAATTAGATATTATTGTGTTATAATATTAGATATATAATATCATTATATTGTATTATACTATATATTACTATATAATGTTATATTATTATATAATATATAATATTATATAATATATCCAATATTATATAATATATTATATGATTATTAATAATTGTATATTATAGAATTTATAATTTTTATCTATTTTATATGCTATATTATATAAATATAGTATATGTAATGATATTATATTATATATATTATAATTATATGATATTATGTATTATTATATTATATTGTCTATTATTATATTATATTATATTATATTATATTATATTATATTATATATATAACATATTATATAATATATCAATATTATATAATATGTTACACACTTTTTAATTATTGTGTACTATATAATATATCCAATATAATATAATATATTATATAATATTGGCTTTTCACAAATATTAAAATGGATTTCATACGTGTGGTGTTAAAGTAACTTTGTTATAAAGATACAGTTTTTATTTCTGTTGTTGATTAAGCTCAGTTAACTAGCTGATATAAATATGCTTGTGTTAAAACGCCTGCTTGGATGGATAACATCCAATAAAAATATAACGAGGACACCTGTACAGATCTGCCAACAGTCAGCACTCACTGACTGAAGGCAGTGAGGAACAAAAACTGGAGGTGATAAAAAAGGACTAAAATCACAACCAAGGAATCTTCATGTTCTAAAAAAGATGGACCTAGGAAGAAGATATGCTTAAGAGTTCTTGGAACATGTAAACTAGTTAGGGAAAAGTTTACTATGCATAAGAGTCTATGAATATGCAAAGAGCTGATGTAAGGGGAAAGGTGATGTAAGGGGAATGGCCCTTGTTTCCTATTGTCCTTTATTAAACTTCTTAAATTTTCACAGGAGAGTGAAGGTGCTTTTCACAGGCTGAAAACCCTTCCTGGGGACCATCCAGGTGTGTCCAACCCCAGCTGGATGAATTTTCCCAATAACTGGGGCTTAGGGAAAAAAAAATCTGCAAACTTTATTTCCTTATTGAGAAACACCTATTTCATAAAGGCAGTTGAGTTTGTCATTAGACACATCAATGATCCAACAGAAGGAATTAAAACAATTGAAAAAAATCAGGTTTTTTACTTGAAACAGTTTGAGTGTTCTTGAGAGCTGTTGTTAAATTGTACAAAATGTTAGTTTGAGTATGTTTTTAAATATGAATAATGAAGGAGGAAGTAATTTTGCCCAAGGCTGTGCGCTGTGGTGCTCTCCAGGTTCGGCATGAACCACGACGGGGTCGGCAACAGCTGCGGCTCGCGGGGGCAGGAGACGGCCAAGCTGATGGCTGCCCACATCACCATGAAGACCAACCCCTTCGTGTGGTCCACCTGCAGCAGGGATTACATCACCAGCTTCCTGGAGTAAGGAATCCACCCCTCCCTGCCCTCCCTCCAGCCTCCCCCAGTCTCTTGTGAGGAGGGGGTAAAGCCAAAGCAAAGCCCCAAACCCCCCAAAACCTTCTTTCTTGTCTCCCAGTGTCTCTTTCCTTCCTTTAGACTTATTTTCCTGCCTGTTGAGCATCAAAACCCATTTATAATGTGGCTGGGATAGCTTTATTTATTATATTATTTATTACATATATAACATATTTTTATTTATTTTTATTTGTTTATTATTCTCATGTCCAGAAACTTCACAAATAGATCAGTTCCCCAGAGGAAGAGTGGGGGAGTTGCTGGAGTAAGGAATCCACCCCTCCCTGCCCTCCCTCCAGCCTCCCTCAGTCTCTTGTGAGGAGGGGGTAAAGCCAAAGCAAAGACCCAAATCCCCCCAGAACCTCCCACGTCTTGTCTCCCCCTTCCTTCCTTTAGACTTTCCCATGTTTTTCCTGCCTGTTGAACATCTAAAAACATTTATGTTGTGGCTGGGAGAGCTTTATTTATTTATTATATTATTTAGTAATATATATATATTTATTTATTTATTTATTTACTTATTTATTATTCCCACGTCCAGAAACTTCATAAATAGATCAATCCCCCAGAGGAGGAGTGGGGGAATTCCTGGAGTAAGGAATCCACCCCTCTCTTCCCTCCCTCCAGCCTCCCCCAGTCTCTTATGAGGAGGGGGTAAAGCCAAAGCAAAGCCCCAAACCCCCCAGTGTTGCAGTGTGATGTAGGTGTCTAATTCCAATACCCCAGAACCTTCTGTCTTGTCTCCCACAGTCACATTCCTTCCTTCCTTTAGACTTTCCCATGTTTTTCCTGCCTGTTGTACATCTGAAAACATTTTTTGTTGTGGCTGGGAGAGCTTTACTTATTTGTTATATTATTTATTATGTATTGTATAAAAAATAAATAATATAATAACACATCCCTGCTCCTCATGCTCCATGCTGGCCACCCCCAGCTCCAGGAGCCTCCAGTGGGATGTGGCGTGAGCAGGATTTGGGGCTGGGGGTGATGACAGCGGCTTTGATTTAGGGGGAGCTCTGAGAAGTGAGGAAAGGGGAGGGAAAGGCATTTCTGGCTGAGTTTGGATGTTCCTACAAAGCTCTGGCAAGCAGGATGTTGGGCTTGGAGAGGGCGGCTGGGGGATCACAGCTGGGTGGGGGAGCAGCCCCTCTGCCCACCCAGTGCCCACCTGGGCACACCTGCCTGGGCACTCACCTTGGGGACAACCTGGGCTGGCAATACCCTGCAGAACGGCTGCAGCTGTGCCAGGCCTTGGCATGGAGCTCAGGGCAAGGTTCTTCCCCCCGAGGCTGCTGGGCACTGCCCAGGCTGCCCAGGCAATGGTGCCAAGGCTGCCAGAGCTCCAGGAGCCCCCAGGGGTTCTCAGGGTGGGGGTGTTGGGGTGGCTGTGCAGGGACAGGGGCTGCACTGATCATCCTTGTGGGATCCAGCTTAGGATATTCAGTTGGGCTCCTCTGTCCACCTCTGCCCAGTGATGATGCCATCTGGGAATTTTAAGAGCTTTGATAATTTTCAGTAAGTGGAGATGATCCCTGTGAGTGCCTTCCAGCTCAGGATATTCCAGGTTTCTCTGAACCCTCAGATCAACACTTCCAGAGTTACCTCAGAACCAGGATGTTCTTCCCAGCCTGGGAAGGATTTCAGAGCACTTTCCACACTCAGAGCAGACCCAGGTTTATCCCCTCAAGCAGCCAAGCTCTGTGACAGTGTTCACAGGGGTCTCAGGTTGAGGGAAGAGACGAGGATCTGACTCCATGTTTCAGAAGGCTTGATTTATTATTTTAATATATATATTACATTAAAACTATACTAAAAGAATAGAAGAAAGGATTTCATCAGAAGGCTAGCTAAGAATAGAATAGGAAGGAATGATAACAAAGGTTTGTGGCTCAGACTCTCTGTCTGAGCCAGATAAGCTGTGATTAGCCATTAATTAGAAACAACAAATGTAAGTCAATCAAAGATCCACCTGTTGCATTCCACAGCAGCAGATAATCAATGTTTACATTTTTTTTCCTGAGGCCTCCCAGCTCCTCAGGAGGAAAAATCCTAAGGAAAGGATTTTTCATAAAAAATGTCTGCGACAAAGCTCAGCCCAGCAAAGCCGGGAGTAACACCTGCTGATCCCCCACCTCAGCTTCTCTCTCCCCCCTCATCTTTCTCAGCTCTGATTGTTCCTCTGTGTTTCCAGCTCGGGGATGGGACTGTGCCTGAACAACGCTCCTCCCAAGCAGGATTTCATCTACCCCACGGTGGCCCCGGGCCAGGCCTACGATGCCGACGAGCAGTGCCGCTTCCAGTACGGAGTCAAATCCCGCCAGTGTAAATACGGGGTAGAGAGCCTTCCTGCTTTACTATCGGTTCCAGGGCTGTGGGAGGGGGCGTGGGGCAAGGAGAGCTCTGTGGGGCTGTGCCTGCTGCCCACGTCTGTCATTGGCACCCTTAGAAATGAAGGGATGGGGCTATTTTCAAGCTAAGAATGATTTATTGCTCAGATAAACATCAGGCTCAGAGGATGTGAGATTTTAGAGCAGCAAGCAGTCAGCCATAGCTCTAAGTAGTTTCATTACAAGACAATATATAACTTTCTAAACCAATAGACAGTTGCCACAGAATTTATTTTCCTTTTCTAACCTATCACCTTTACTTCTGCTGCACTGTGGATGCTTTTGTCCAATGGCTTCTGTCTCACTCGCATACATATCCTTCTATTATAACTTCTAAACTCTTAGTTTATTCTATGCAACCACACCCTTATAAACCCTTCTGCATTTTATCAATGCAGTTTCCAGCATTATAAACCCTTCACCATCTTATCAATACAGTTTCCTGCATCTTATCAATAGTTTCTTACATTATAAACCCTTGGCCACTTTATCAATACAGTTTCCTACATTATAAACCCTTCTGCATCTTATCAATACATTTTCCTACATTATAAAACTTTCACCATCTTATCAATACATTTTCCTACATTATAAACCCTTCACCACCTTTTCAATGCAGTTTCCTACATTATAAACCGTTTACCATATTATCAATACAATTTCTCACTTACTTAAAGCAAATTCTTACTTACAACTATAGGAACATAAGTTTATTATCTTTCTGCCTAATGCCTGTATATTGTATTTTTACATCAATCCAAGCTTCTTCCAAGGCTGCAGATCAAACCCTCCTGTGTTTGTGGAAATTTCATTATAAACCCTTCACCATCTTATCAATACAGTTTCCTACATTATAAACCTTTCACCATCTTATCGATATAGTTCCACTTAAAGCCTATTCTTACTTCCAACTATAGGAACATAGGTTTATTATTTTTCTGCTTAATGTCTGTGTATTGTATTTTTACATCAATCCAAGTTTCTTCCAAGGCTGCAAATCAAATCCTCCTGTGTCTGTGGAAGTTTCATTATAAACCCTTCACCATCTTATCTTATGCCACAATAAAACTCCAGGAAGTTTTATTTATTTATTTTATTCCAGCAGTCCCATCCTGTTTGTGAAAAACCCCAACACAGACAAGGACAGTGGGATTAGCTCAGGTGTCACCGAGGTGACACCAAGGAGAGGTGGCATGGGCTAGCTGGAGTCAGCCAGGAGGGTTTAAGGGTTTTTTGAGTTTTAAATGTTAAAGTTTTAGGAGATTTGATGTTACAGTCCTCTTTAAATCCGTTAAAAAGTCAAGTAAGTTCATTATTTGTAATTTTTAAAACAGATGTGATTTAATTGATTTCTCTTAAAAGCTGTTGTGAATCGTGTAAGGTGTTGATACTGGTTTGAAGTTGTATTTTCTGTGGTTTGATTATCCTGTTGGATTAGGGGTATTTTTTTACTTAGAGATGGGGTAACTGAGAGGCATTTTTAAAACTTTTATTCTATTTTAAGTCTCATATGAAGGGTGAGATCATATAGATAATTCATATTTAATATAACTACATAAGAATAAGATAAAAATATATTATATTATATTATATTATATTATATTATATTATATTATATTATATCGTATCGTATCGTATCAATATATATAATATATAATATATAATATATAATATATAATATATAATATAATATCTATTCTAGATAAATAAATAATATATAAATTTTATAATATATATTATATTATATATAACTTAATATAGCATTATAATTTATGCTATTACTATCAGAAGCTAACTATTTCTTAATTACGATACATTATAAGCATTTCTTGGCTTATCAGTTTTTGCTACACTATACTGTAAATGCTTTAAAGCTAATTATATAAAATTACTCTTTGTGGGTCTTACTACAATGTATTTTATAGTTCTATTTTTCTGAAGTATACTCCTTTCTGTTAGCTCATCCTTTGAAACTTGTTCCTAGAAAAAATTAAACTAGAAAAAATTAAACTAAAAAAAATTCAAGCTAGGAAAAAGAATTAAACTAGAAAAAATTTAACTTTGCTTAGGTGCTTGTGCTTAGTTTGCAAGTGCAGAGCAGGGGACAGGGGACAGCTCTCAGTGGCCCTGGGGTGGCTGCAGCTGGCAGGGTTTGACCTCACATTGTCCCCACCATGCTGAAGACAGTCAGTGTCCCCATGTCCCTGTGTCTCACCCAGCTGGTGCCTCCCTGGCACAAGCCAATCCTAATCTGGGTTTGGTTTCTTTGTCTCTCCCCTCCTCCCTGTGTCCCCCCAAATTTCCCCCTCTGCAGGAAGTCTGCAGCGAACTCTGGTGTCTGAGCAAAAGCAACCGCTGCATCACCAACAGCATCCCCGCAGCCGAGGGCACCATCTGCCAAACCAACACCATCGACAAGGGGGTAAGGCAGCCCTGGGCACTGCAGGCAGCTGGCAGGGATGGGCTGGGTCCCTTTTCCAGCAAAAAAGGGATTATTGTTTGTGCTGGGGATGTGGGGTTGGTTTGGGAGCACCCAGCAGCCAGCCCAGCCCTGACCCCATAGGGCAGAGCTGTCCTGGAGGGAGGCTGGGATGGGCCAAGGGGGCCAGAAATCACCCCAAGGTCCAGCTCAGAGCTCATTGTGCAGTGCTGGAATGTGGAAAGTGGAATATGGAATGTGATATGTAGAATGTGGAAAGTGGAATGTGGAATGTGGAACATGGAATGTGGAAAGTGGAATGTGGAATATGGGATGTGGAAAGTGGAATGTGGAATATGGGATGTGGAAAGTGGAATATCATATGTGGAATATGGATATTGGAAAGTGGAAAGTGGAATGGGGAATATGGAATTTGGAATGTGGAATGTGGAATATGGAATGTGGAAAGTAGAATATGGAATATGGAAAATAGAATGTGGAGAGTGGAATGTGAAGAGTGGAATGTGGAATATGGAATTTGGAATGTGGAATGTGGAATATGGAATACAGAATTTGGAATGTGGAATGTGGAATATGGAATATGGAATGTGGAAAGTAGAATATGGAATATGGAAAATAGAATGTGGAGAGTGGAATGTGAAAAGTGGAATGTGGAATGTGATATGTGGAATATGGACTGTGGAATGTGGAATATAGAATGGGGAATATAGAATGTGGAAAGTAGAATGTGGAATATGGAATGGGAAATCCCTGCTCTAGCAAAATCCTCCCTGGTGCCAGCCCTGAGGCACAGCAAGGTGACCTCAAGCAGCTGTGGCAGCTCAGGCTCTGCTGCCCATCCCAGTTTCTGTCACTGAAACTGAACCTGTTTAACATTTCCTGGATAACCTCTGACAGGGCACGCTGCTCCTGAAAAGCAGCAAGATTTCCATGGATTGTTTCAGGAGGAATAAGATGTCATGGAATTCCATGTCCTTAAATGAACACCCTGTCCTCAGGTCTGCTGGGATCTCCTGGGATCTCCTGGCTGGTCTGAGAAAAGGGATTTTTTGGTTTTTTCTCCCAGTTTTCCCAGATTTTTGCTTTCAGAGGAACTTGGGAAAAACTGGCTATGATGAAACTTTGTTTTTATACCCTCAGCTGGGAGGAGAGTGCAGGATTTTCCCTGACCATGAATTTTGCCTGCATTGCTTCACTCCCTGCTCCTCCTACACCCATTTTCCCCAGCACAAAGTGAATGCACTGCTCAGACAAAGAGCCTTTGCACACTGGGACAATGGAGAATCAGGGCTGGGACATTCCCCATTCCACTAGAAGAAAAGTAATTCCCAGGAAACATTTCAAATCCTTAGGAAACTGCAGGAGCTGGGGTGCAGGGGAGACCATGGCTCTGACAAATCCATGATTATTTTCATTTTAGTTCTGCTGGGAACTGGGGCAGAGAGCAGCAGACAGCTCCTGGGGCTGCACATCCCTCCTGCTGCACACCCGCAGGAATTATGGCATCTTTTCCCTCCTAGTCATGGCTTTTTCCCAGCTTTTCCCACTTTTTAATATCCATTTTCCCTCACTTTGTGGCTGCTTTTTTACCAGGCTTTTTCAAAAGCCTCGAGGGAAGGGAAATGAAGCAGTCACAGCCTCCAGGATTTGTGGGAGCTGCTCCCTGTGAGGATTCTGGCTCCCTTTGAACCCCCAGTTACCTCCCTGTGCTTATCCTTTTGGATCCATTCATTATTTGGAAGTGATTTGATGGCCTTGGGTGGAAGAATATAATTTTATATTAAGAAGAATATATTTTTATATTAAGTTTTTGTATTGTTCCCAGCTGGATCTGCTGGGTTGAGCCCCAGACCTCAGCCCTTGGCTGGAGCAGCTCTCCAAGGTCTTCCCTGGCTTCTCCCTTTGCCCTGGGGAGAGCAGACAGAAAGATCAGGGAATTTAAAGTATGAAATATTAAAGGAGAGAGGAAAATTCCTGTGCTCCGCCAGCCAGTGTGGGGGAAGGCTGAGCCAAGCTCTGCTGTGCCCACATCCCAAACCTCTGGGTATTTCCTCCTCCCAGATCCTTCTTTTTTAAAATAATCAATCTCCTGTGGTTGTTATGGCTTTACCCCAAGAACCCACAGTGGCATTTTTTCCCTCTTTTTTCCCAGTTTTTCCCACTTTTAATCATCCCTTTCCCCAACTTTGTAACTGCTTTTTAACCAGGGTTCTTCAGAGGGAAGGGAAGGGAAGGGAAGGGAAGGGAAGGGAAGGGAAGGGAAGGGAAGGGAAGGGAAGGGAAGGGAAGGGAAGGGAAGGGAAGGGAAGGGAAGGGCCCCCAGGGTTTATTGACGCTATTCCCAGGCTGTGGGAATATTGTGGAGTATCTCCTCCACATGGGATCCCCCTTTGGAGAGGCTCTGGTGCTCCCAGGGATTGTGAGTTGGGATTCCTGGGAAGCCACCGTGCGTTTTTCCCGGCTGCCCATGCAGAGCTGGCTCGGGAGGAGCAGGGAGAGGCTGTGCCAGCAGCTCCAGGGTGGGTTCCCAGCCCCTGGAAGGAGCACACAGAGCTTTCTTCCTTCCTGGGATTATCTCAGCCCCCGGGGCTCCGTGTCCGGCACCGCGCCCGGGCGGCTCTGGCACCGTCCCACCCTCCCATGCTGGGGACTCCAGGGGCTGTGGGATGCGTGCCAGGCATGAGGGAAATATTTCATAGGCAAATTTCCATGAGCATCTGTCTCTCAGTAGGACGGGGACAGGATTCTTTAAGGATGCTCAGCAGAACGATGACACAACAACGCTGATATTACAATTTAAACTTTATTTGAACTCAAGCTCTTTGCTGATCTGGACATTTTGGACACAGAAACCACAACCTGAGCTCTCAGTACAAACAAAACTCACTCTGTCCTGGCAGTGGTTGTGGCCATGTCCCCCAGGGATCCTGGCCCTGCCCAGCAGCAGCAGCTCCAACCCAAGATCACCTGGATCTCTGCCGAGGGCTTTTATAAGATGTGAGATGGGGAGTCAGGAAATCTTTAGAGAAGAATCCCAAACTAGTTTGGGTTGGGAGGGACCTTAAACCTCACCCATGGGCAGGGACACCTTCCACAGCCCAGGGTGCTCCAAGCCCCAATGTCCAACCTGGCCTTGGACACTTCCATGGATCCAGGGGCAGCCGCAGCTGCTCTGGGCAACGTTTGGGATGTGACCCCTTGCCAGTGGATGGTGCCACAGTGGCTGGGGACACAGATCCCACTGACCCCAAGGAGAGGCAAACACCCTTTGCCTTGGAGAACTGAGCAGCTCCAAGCTCAGATTCCTCAGGATCAAAGCAGATCCCAGAGCAGATCCCAGCCCTGCGCTGGCTCCCTGGAGGCTCTGGCAAGAGGATCCCCCCCAAGATGTGCAGGATGTCTCTGTTTCAGCCCATGTGGCTGAAGAATGAGTCAGACTTCTTCAGTTTTCGGTCTTGAGGTTGTTTATTAATTCTTATCTATAAAATTTTCTTTCTGCCCAGCCGAGGCCTGCTCAGCAGGGCAGCCACAGGCACTCTGACTGCCCCCGAGGCAGTGTTGTCTTTTTATACTACAAACTACATATAACATGTTTACACCTAATTCGCAATACCTATCACCTATGTTAGACAGTGCACTTCTATTCTAAACTAATCCCAAAGTGCCAACATCACTGCAGGAAATGGAGAACAAGAAGAAGAAAGGCTGGACACACCCAAGTTCCTCCATCTTGTCCCCATAACCCCCATACCAAAAATCCTAAAATCTACATTTTCATCCTGTGATAATTTTATTATTATACTATTCAAACCTCTGTGACATTCAGGTCCTCATACAAAGCTGGTAACTTGCTCCAGGGGTCAAAATCAAATCTGGAGGTGTTTTGGGCTGCGTGCCCGGTGGGATCCTCAGCAACTCTGGACACCAAGAGGGATGTACCGAGTTCTGACAGGGTCCCATTGCCGAGGTGTCCCAAGCTCTGTGTCCCCGCAGTGGTGCTACAAGAGGGAGTGTGTGCCCTTCGGGACGCGGCCGGAGGGCGTGGACGGAGCCTGGGGCTCGTGGTCATCGTGGGGCGAGTGCAGCCGGACGTGCGGTGGCGGCGTCTCCTCGTCCGTGCGCCACTGCGACAGCCCCAGGTACGTGGGGGTCACTCTTGTGCCAGGGTCAGGGCAGGAACAGGGAGAGGCAGGATGGTAGAAAAGGAAAAGAAGGGTTTATTCAAAAGAACCGCATGGTTTTTATAGAGTGGTACAATAGATTCTATTCTATTGGCTAACTAACAGAAACATCTTTCTCACGCACTGTCCTCGAGTGTTGGGGAAGATGAAACAGGGAAGCCTTATAAATATGATTGCCTGGCAAAAGATTTTGAGAATATAGAAACTATAAGCGAGATTGAAATGAAAGCAAGCTTTGAGATCCCTCAGTTACTGAACAACTGGAAAACAATGGTGTGGCCGGCTGAAGGTGATCCCCTTTTGATGGAACAAAACAACACCCTCTGCTTGCAGGCAGCTCCAAGTGTCACAGCAGACCCTGCCAGCTTGGCAGAAGGGGCCCAAAGAGGAGTTTTCAGGGTTTAAAATGTAACCCAGTGTGGTAATGTAGTGATTCTTATAGGCTGTATGTAAATGTTATAAGATTTGTATCTTGTACTAGATTGGTTAGTGAGAATTAGAATATGCAACACAGAAGAAGATTTATTGTATTGGAATGGGAACCTCACTCTCTTACCCTTTTACTCTCTTACCCTCTCATCTTCTTTACCACTCTCTCTCTCTCGGGCCTGCTCTGAGCTGTGGCTGGCAGCTCCCAGCAGGGCCCTGCACCCAGGTTCTTTGCAATAAACCCCAAGTTCCATGACCTGGCTGCAGAGATCTCTCGTCTCCGTCTGTCCCCACCGTCCTACCCCCCAACACTCCTACACTTGAGAGGAACAGAAAAGTAAAGTAGAAAAACACCACCTGCAAATTGTTTATAGTCAACAAATAATCACATCTTTCCAGCTCCATAAAACTTCTCCCAAGCCACTGTGAGAAACGCTCGCCGTTTCTCTCTGTCTGTCCCATGGCATCCACACGTGGGGGTGGCCCTGTCACCACAGCCCTGCCGTGTCCCCAACCCTTTGTGTCCGTGGGGAGGCACATCCAGGTGCCTGTGATGCCTTGGGAAGGCTGAGCTAGAGCAGAGGCTGGATGGATGGGGAGTCGTAACTTCTTTTTGCCAGGGTTGGGATTAAATGTGTGTGGTATTTCTTGTTGGGACTCAGATGTTTATCAGTTCTTATCTACGTCACAGTCTCACAAAAAATGTGAGAGTTTTCTCATCTATCTATGTCAGTCGCACAAACCTCCCTCCTCTTTGGCAGGCCCACCATTGGAGGGAAGTACTGCCTAGGAGAGAGGAAACGCTACCGCTCCTGCAACACTGATGTGAGTGGGGCAGCGGGGATGGGAGGGATGGAGGGATGGAGAAGGGGGATCTGCCCTGTCCAGGGTGGGATCAGCCCTGTCCAGGGGGATCTGCCCTGTCTGGGGTGGGATCTGCCCTTTCCAAATGGGATCAGCTCTCTCCAAATGGGATCTGCCCTATCCGGGTTGGTATCTGCCCTGCCTGGATTGGGATGAGCCCTCTCTGGTTGGGATGAGCCCTGTCCAGACTGGGTTGAGCCCTCTCCAGGTTGAATGAGCCCTGTCTGGATTGGGCTGAGCCCTCTCCAAATGGGATCAGCCCTGTCCAGGTGGGATGAGCCCTGTCAGGGTTGAATGAGCTCTATCTAGACGGGATGAGCCTTCTCCAACTGGGATAAGCCCTCTCTGGGTGGGATCAGCCCTATCCAGGTCGGATGAGCCCTTTCCAGGTGAAATGAACCCTCTCCAGTTGGGATGAGCCCTCTCCAAGTGGGATGAGCCCTCTCCCAATAGGATAAGCCCTGTCTGGGTTAGGATGAGCCCTGTCTCAGTAGGATGAGCCTTCTCTAAGTGGGATGAGCCCTCTCTGGTTGGGTTGAGCCCTCTCTGGGTTAAATAAGCCCTGTCTGGGTTGGCATGAACCCTGTCCAAATGGGATGAGCCCTGTCCAGATTGGGATAAACCATGTCCAGGTGGGATGAGCCCACTGTAGTTGGGATCAGCCCTGTCCAGGTGGGATCAGCCCTGTCCAGGTGGGATGAGCCTTCTCCAAGTGGGATGAGCCCTCTCCACCCAGGTGCGGGGTGCTCTGTGGTGCCATGGGAGGAAGAGGAGGAGGAGGAGGCAGGACACGGGCAGGGCGGGGTGAGCCGGCAGCGATCCCGCAATGGGGAATTCCAAGCAGGACCAGGCAGGTGTGGGAGCCGGCTCCGGGGACGGGGGGGGGCTGCACGGACCTGCGGGGCTTCGGCATCCAGAGGGGCCCAAAGATAAGGAGGGAAGGGAGGGGAGAGAGAGAATTCCAGCTCTGCTTCTCCCAGGCTGCTCAGGTGAGGCTGGGTCAGACTCTGCTTCCCGGGGCTGAGGATTAAACCTCAAAGATTTGCAGAAAAATCTGCACTGAGGGGATGCTCAGAGGAGCTTGGGACCTGGGAGATTGCAGTTTTAACACCCACGGGCTCCTGGATGGGTCCTGGGTTTGGGGGATGGCTCCCCAGGCTCACAGATCAGGCAGAGCTCCTGGGGCCCCTCCTCATGCTCTTGGTCTTCAAATCGTGCCTGGCTTTGCAGGAGGGATTGTCCTGCCTCCATGTAGTGGTGTCAGGGCTGTTGTCCCTGTCCCCAAGGCTCTAGTGGCAGTGCTCCATTGTCAGGGCTGGTGTCCCTGACCCCAAGGGGCTGATGTCCCGGTCCTCAAGGGGCTGGGGTCCCTGAGGAGCTGGTGGCAGTGCCCTGATTTAGGGCTGACATCCCTGTCCCCAGGGGGCTGGTGGTAGTGACCAGTTGCCAGAGCTGATGTCCCTGTCCCTGAGGGGCTGGTGTCCCTGAGAAGCTGGTGGCATTGCCCTGTTGCCAGAGCTGATGTCCCTGTCCCCCACGGGCTGGTGGCAGTGCCCCATTGTCAGGCCTGGTGTCCCTGTCCCTGAGGGGTTGATGTCCCTGTCTCCAAGGGGCTGGTGGCAGTGCCCCATTGCCAGAGCTGGTGGCAGTGTCCCATTGTCAGGGATGATGTCCCTGTCCCAAGGCACTGGTGGCAGTGCCCCGTTGCCAGAGCTGGTGGCAGTGCCCTGTTCTCAGGCCTGATGTCCCTGTCCCCAAGGGTCTGGTGGCCGTGCCCTTTATCAGGTCTGGTGTCCCTGTCCCCAGGGGTTGGTGGCAATGCTCAGCTGTGCCCGCCTGGCAGCCAGGCCAGGCTGCCCATCCCCACACTGACCCATGGCTGTGTGCCCACAGGACTGCCCGCCGGGCTCGCAGGATTTCCGAGAGCTGCAGTGCGCCGAGTTCGACAGCGTGCCCTTCCGAGGGAAGTACTACACTTGGAAAACCTACCGGGGAGGTGAGCTGGGGCTGCTGGGGCTGAGCCCCTCTGCTGCCTCGGGGCAGGGTGGTGAAAATGCTGAAACCCCCTCAAAGGGGCTCCTGAAGGATTCTGGAGCTCCTTACTGGGAGTAAGACAGGATGTGGTGGTGCTCGCAGGGGTCCCAGGGCGAGGGAAGAGATGAGAATCTTGATTCCGTGTTTCAGAAGGCTGATTTATTATTTTATGATATAAGTTATATTGAAAGAAAATGATATATTAAAATGATACTAAAAGAATAGAAGAAAAGGATTTCATAGGAAATTTCAAGGAAAGGAAATTTCAAGGAAAGGAAAAGGAAAAGGAAGGAAATCTTGTCACTGCTCACAGCCTCAACACAGGTGGCTGTCGTTGGTCATCAAGTAAAAACAATTCACATGCTGGGTAAACAGTTCTCCCAATCACATTCCAAAGCAGCAAAACATGGAGAAGATGAAACTTCCCAGCTTCTCAGGAGAAAATATCCCAATGAAAGGATTTTTCATAAAACATGTCTGTGACAGCAGTGCTCTAGGCTGGGGATGGTGTGGCTGGACAGTGCCCTGGCTAGAAGGGACCTGGGGCTACTGGTCAACAACATGAGCCAGCAGTGTGCCCTGGTGGCCAAGAAGGCCTACAGCTCCTGGCCTGGATCCGGAATGGTGTGACCAGCAGAAGCAGGGAGGTCATTCTGCCCCTGTACCAGGCACTGGTGAGGGCAAACCTTGAGTGCTGTGTCCAGTTCTGGCCCCTCAGTTTAGGAAGGACGTTGAGATCCTTGAATGTGTCCAAAGAGGCAATGAGGCTGGAGAGGGGCTGGGAACACAAACCCTGTGAGGTTCTGCTGGAGCAGGGATCCTGCACAAGGGGGGAGTTTTCCTCTGCAGCTCCAGGGCTGCTGGAGATGGGCCTGGGCTCCCTCTGGGTATCCAGTGGAAAGGCTGTGCTGGTGTCCCAAACCTCAGATTGGATCCAGGTAGGAATGCTTGGCTCCTCCCCTGGGCGGAGCATCTCCCCATAGGATGCTGGGATTGGATCAGCCCTGCAGGGACACTCAGTGGCCATGGACAGCGGAGATCTCCTGGAGGGAGGGTTGCCTGTGGGAGAGATAAAGAAAAAACTGCCCCAAGAACAGCAGAGAACTGCCCCAGCTCTGACAGATGGAAATAGAACACACACCCCCATTTCCGACCTAAAATAGGAACTCACTGGGGAGGAGACAGAGCAGGCAGGGAAAGCTTCCTGAGCAGGAGAAGGGATGGGATCTGATGGATCCTTCAAAGAGCAGCACTTCCCTCTTCCTGAGGTCAGCCCTGGGTCCTGCAGAAGGCTCTGGAGGAGGCTCAGTGGCACAAATCTCTCAATAATGAGGAGGAACAAACAGCTCATCTCCTCGGTGGAGTTAATGAACTGGGCTGGGGAAATCCTTCCCAGCTGCGCAAACAAGCCCAGCTCCCAGCGGGGCTCCTGCAGCTGGAGCAGCTGTGCTGAGGCTGCAGGGCATGGATCAATAAAAATGGAATAAAATTTTGGGAGGCTGTAAAGTCACCCCGAGACCTCAATGGATGTCGAATTGGGAGACAACCCTGGCTCAGACCTCTCTCCTCCCCAGGCATGGCCCAGGGCTGGGCTGGCCAGCTGAACATCACCCTGGAGGTGTCATCTATCCCTGACAGGGATTTTTGCTTTCATAAAGAGCCCCTTCCTCTCTCTGTGCTTCAGTTTCCTCTGCCACAAAATGAGTGATGAAACCTCTCCCCTGGTGGGAGGCTGGCAGTGCTGACCTTGTGTGTGGAAGGGATTTGGGAGCTTCATCTCCTCTTCCCAAGTGTGCTGTGGGTCATTAGGAGCATTTTAATTTTGTTTATTTGGAGGAGAGGGAGAGGAAAGGAAAGGAAAGGAAAGGAAAGGAAAGGAAAGGAAAGGAAAGGAAAGGAAAGGAAAGGAAAGGAAAGGAAAGGAAAGGAAAGGAAAGGGGAAAGAGGAAAAAGGGCAGGGATGGATGGGATATTGGGCAGGAATTGCTCCCTCTGAGGGAACTTCATCCGGATATTTGGGTCCATTTGCATATTGGGGGTTAATCTCCCAATTACAGCTTCAGGTAATGAAGTCATTTACCCCAAATTTGCTCTCCCCAGCTCACTTTTGTTTCCATTTCTGGGGCCTGAGGCAGTGAGGTGTCCTTGATTGCCAAGCCTGGAGAGGAATTGTCGTGATTGCCCAAAATGGGAAAGCAGCAGCTCACACTGGATATGGAGTTTGGAGTTATACACTAAAGAACTGCAGGATTACAAACAGATGAAAAATATAAAAGCTAAAATCCTAAAATGAAGTTGAGCAAAGCTTTACATGTCTTTATGTTTTTGAATAGCTCAGTTGCAGACCCTAACCCTACAATTTTTAGGCATTTTCCAAATAGCACAAAGGCAAAATTAAAAGAAAATCCTCTAGTTTTAATGGGAAACCCCAAGACAGGACAAACTGCAGGACCATTTTCACTCATCCCACGTGGAGTAGTGTGAGCACAGGACCCCAAGGGCATCCCCTGCTCTCAGTGTGGGCAGGGGATTGATTCCCAGGCCTGGAGAGGAATTGTTGTGTCTGCCCAAAATGGGAAAGCAGCAGCTCACACTGTGTGTGGAATTTGGAGTTATACACTAAAGAACTGAAGGGTTACAAATAGATGAAAATTATAAAAGCCAACATCCTAAGACGAGGTTTATATGTCTTTAATTTCTTTCATTAAAAGCTTTATATGTCTATGTCTTTAATTTTTTTAATAGCTCATTTACAGACCCTAACCCTCCAATTTTTAGGCACTTTCCAAACAGCACACAGGCAAAATTGAACGAAAATCCTCCAGTTTTAATGAGAAACCCTGAGACACGACAAACTGAAGAACCATTTTCACACAGGCAAAATTGAACAAAAAATCCTCTGGATTTAATGAGAAACCCTGAGACAGGACAAACTGCAGGACCATTTTCACTCATCCCACATGGAGCAGTTTGGCACAGCACTTTTGCTGAGCTCCCCCTGCTCAGCAGCTGCTTCTCCAGGGGCTTGCCCAGGCATCCTGCTCCAGAAAATGCCTCCAAGCTGCTGAATTCCCCTCTCGTGTCTCCTCCTGCTCCTCTCTCTCCCAGCTTTGCTCTCTGTTCCCCTCCAGCTGCTCCGGCACAGCTGGGCCCCCTCCCATCCCCTCCCCTCCTTTCACCCCTTTGATGTTCTGTGTCGAGTTTCCCTTTTGCACATTCCCCTTGCTCCCATCCAAGGTGCTTCCCCAGCTCTGGCACAGGGATCAGGAGCTGGGTGGTGCCTCCAGGAGGGAGCTGGAGCAGCTCAGGCACCTCTGCCAGACTCCTGGGATGCTCAGTGAAAGCAGCAAACGCCACAAACCACACCAGGGGTTGAGAAAATCCCATGGCAGCAGGCAGGGAATGCTCTGCTGGAGCCACATCCTGCTCCCAGGCACTTCATCTGGATATTTGGGTGAAAATATAGGAAAATACAGAAAATTCAGCTGTGGTTTGAAGATCCTTCTCGCCAGGGGTTGAGAAAACCCCATGGCAGCAGGCAGGGAATGCTCTGCTGGAGCCACATCCTGCTCCAGGCACTTCATATTCATATAACCCAAATATCACTGGATATTTGGGTTGAAATATAGGAAAATACAGGAAATTTCAGCTGTGGCTTCTCCTTCATCCTCAAGCCACACCAGGGGCTGAGAAAATGCAGTGGCAGCAGGCAGGGAATGCTCTGCTGGAGCCACATCCTGCTCCCAGGCACTTCATCTGGATATTTGGGTGCTGTTCCTGGGGTGATGCTTTGGAAAAGGTTGTTGGAAAAAATAGAAAATACAGAAATTTCAGCTGTGGCTTGAAGATCCTTCTCACCAGTGGCTGAGAAAATCCAGTGGCAGCAGGCAGGGAATGCTCTGCTGGAGCCAGATCCTGCTCCCAGGTACTTCATCTGGATATTTGGGTGAAAATATTGGAAAATACAGAAATTTCAGCTGTAACTTGAAGATCCTTCTCCTTCATCCTCATCAGCTTTGGTTTCCCTGGCCCAGTAACTTTGTTCTGCTCTGGAAGCTGAAGAAAACTTTGGAAAGGTTCCTCAGGAGCTGCTGCCTCAGTTTCCCTGTTGGTAAAGCGGGCAGAAGGGTTTTGTAACCTATAAAATGCCAGGAGGGACCCAGATAAGAACAAACCGCTTTGTTTCCTTCCCTGTCATATCCAGGGTCTGTGTCCAGCTCAAGGGCCTGGCTCCCTCCTCCAGGAGCATCCTCCTGGTTTTCTGCATCCTTTCTTATGGGAATAAATCACACAGACTCCATTTTCTTCAGGGTGGAAAAGAATTCCATTCTATATTTACATAACTCCTTTTTATACCATTTTACAGACTTCCTGTGTGACTCCAATTAGTCTGTAGCGTTCTTGCCAATTTATTGATTAGTAATAAGTTATTTTATATTGATTGGTCACTCTAACCTGGTGTGTACCTTCAGGAAAAGTTGTTTGTGAGAGCAGGCTTGATATTATGAAGCCTTTACGATTTTTCTACTGATTCCAGGAGAGCAGGCTTCATTTAATGAACATTTTATGATATTTCTACTGATTCCAGGAGAGCAGGCTTGATTTAATTATGATTTTATGAAGCCTCTATGATTTTTCTACTGATTCCAGGAGAGCAGGCTTGATTTGATGAACATTTTATGATATTTCTACTGATTTTAGGAGAAGAGGTTTAATTTTATGAAGATTTTAGGAAGCCTTTATGAAATTTCTACTGATTCCAGAAGAGCAGGTTTGATTTTATGAGGATTTAATGAACATTTTATGATATTTCTACTGATTCCAGGAGAGCAGATTTGATTTTATGACAATTTTTATTAAGCCTTTATGATATTTTTACTGATTCCAGGATAGCAGGTCTGATTTTATGAGGATTTTAGGAAGCCTTTGTGATATTTTGACTGAATCCAGGAGAGCAGGTTTGATTTGATGAACATTTTATGAAGCCTTTATGATATTTTTACTGATTCCAGGAGAGCAGGCTTGATTTTATCAGGGATTTTATGAAGCCTTTATGATATTTCTATTGATTCCAGGAGAGCAGGTTTGATTTTATGATGATTTTATGAACCTTTATGATTTTTCTACGTGACTGCAATGCTTTTGGCCCCGTGTGAAGCTGTGCTCCTTCCCCAGGGGGTGTCAAGGCGTGCTCCCTCAACTGCCTGGCCGAGGGCTTCAACTTCTACACGGAGAGAGCGGCGGCCGTGGTGGATGGAACCCCGTGCAGGCAGGACTCCAACGACATCTGCGTCAACGGGGAGTGCAAGGTGGGATGGGGACAGAGCCCAGCATGGGGGACAGGGACAGAACCCGGGGTGGTGAGACAGGGACAGACTCGGGAATGGGGGACAGGGACAGAACCCGGGGTCGGGGGGACAGGAACAGAGCCCTGGATGGGGGACAGGGACAGATCCCCCAGGGTAGAGGGGACAAGGACAGACCCCCAGGCAGGAGGGGAAAGGACAGAGCCCAGGGCAGATGGAACAGGGAGAGACCCCTGGGAATGGGGGACAGGGACAGGCCCCCTAGGGCAATGGGGACAATGACAGATCCGAAGCAGGGGAACAAGGACAGACCCCCAGAGCAGGAGGGACAGGGACAAACCTCCAGGATGGGGGACAGGGACAGGCCTTCCGGATGGGGGGACAGGGACAGACCCCTGGAATGGAGGGACAGAGCCCTGGAATAGTGGGACAAGGACAGAGCGCTGGGAATGGGGGGACAGGGACAAACACCCCAGGGTAGGGGGGACAGGGAGAGACCCCTGGCAATGGGGGACAGGGACAGATCTCTGGGCAGGAGGGACAGGGACAGACCCCCAGGATGGGGGACAGGGACACAACCCTGGGAATGGGGGGACAGGGAGAGACCCAAACCAGGGGGGATACAAGGACAGACCCTCAAGTAGGGGGGACAAGGACAGACCCATGGGCAGGGGGGACAGGGTCAGACTCCTGGGATGGGGGACAGGGATAGACCCCCCTGGGTAGAAGGGACAAGAAGAGATCCCCAAGAAGAGGGGACAAGCACGGACCTGCAGGGCACAGGGGACAAGGACAGACCTGTGAGCAGAAGGGACAAGAACAGATCTCTGGGCAGAGGGGACAGGGACAGAGCCCCAGGCAGGGGACAGGGTACAGATCCCCAGGAAGAGGGGACAGGGACAGACCCCCGGGGCAGGCGAGCGCTGCCCTCAAACTGCTCACACAGACTGGGATGGGTGGAGGGTTCAGAGAGCTGGGGCTGCTCACCTGGACAGGAGAAGGCTCCAGGGACACCTCAGAGTCCCTTTTGGGGCCTGAAGGGGCTCCAGGAGAGCTGCAGAGGGACTGGGGACAAGGCCTGCAGGGACAGGACACAGGGAATGGCTCCCACTGCCACAGGGCAGGGCTGGGTGGGAGATTGGGAATCAGGAATTGTGGAATCCATCCCTGGAATGATTTCCCAGAGCAGCTGGGGCTGCCCCTGGATCCCTGGCAGTGCCCAAGGCCAGGCTGGGCAGGGCTGGGAGCACCTGGGACAGTGGGAGGTGTCCCTGCCACAGCAGGGGTGGGGTGGGATGAGCTTTGAGGTCCCTTCCACCCAAACCATCCTGAAATTCCATTATTTCTCTGCCTGGAGCAGGAACATTCCCATCCTCTCTGCACTCCCTGCCTCACAGATGGATCCCTGCACTCCCAGCCTGTGCAGCCCCAGCCCCTTTGATGTTTCCCTTGCAATGGGATCTGGGGCGAGCTGTAAAAGTTAATTATAAGGAAGTTCTGTGGGAGTGGTCAACATCCCCCAGCAGGCAGACAGACAGACAGACAGACAGGCTGTGTGTCTGTCTGCCTCCCTTCCTGCATCTCTGGGATCTGTTTTTCTCCATGGTGCTCTGGAACAAAGGGGGATTCTGTGACCATGTTCACAGGAGTCTCAAGTTGAGGGAAGACACAAGGATTTGACTCCATGTTTCAGAAGGCTTGATTTATTATTTTATGATATATATTACATTAAAACTATACTAAATGAATAGAAGAAAGGATTCCATCAGAAGGCTAGCTAAGAATAGAGTAAGAAAGAATGATAACAAAGGCTTGTGGCTCGGGCTCTGTGTCTGAGCCAGCTGACTGTGATTGGCCATTAATTAGTAACAACCACATGAGACCAGTCACAGATGCACCTGTTGCATTCCACAGCAGCAGATAATCATTGTTTACATTTTGTTCCTGAGGCCTCTCAGCTTCTCAGGAGGAAAAATCCTAAAAAAAAAGAGATTTTTCATAAAAGATGTCTGTGGCACTGAGAGGACAGCAGGGTCCCTCTGGGCTGGCTCATTGCCGCTGTTCCTCCCCGCAGCACGTGGGCTGTGACCGGGTGCTGGGCTCTGACTCCAAGGAGGACAAGTGCCGGGTGTGTGGGGGAGATGGCAGCTCCTGCGAGACCATCGAGGGCGTCTTCAACCACTCCCTGCCCGAGGGAGGTAGGGAACAAACGGCCTGCTCACCCTCAATCCCCCCTCCTCCTCCTCACCTGCCCCTGGGGACAGGCAGGGACAAACCCCAGAGGGAAATCCCAAGGGGTGACACCAGGCAGCAAATCCCTCCTGTTCACCAGCCAAGCCCTGCTGTGAAATAGGAGCCTCTTTGAACTTTTGGAGATCTATTTCATGCCTATGATAGCTCAGCTACTTTAGAAGGCATGAAATCAACAGGATTGGTGGTAGTGTTGGAAACAAAAAGTGTTGATTTAGAGGGTGGTGGCTGTTACCTGTTCCCTGAAATATGGGATATCCCTGAAATATCTCCTTGAGCCAGGTCTCATAAGCTCTTGGGGATCTGTTTAACACCCATGATACCTCAGCTACCTTAGAAGGCATAAAATCAGCAGGATGGCTTCTGTGGTAGTGTTGGAAACAAAAAGGTTTTAATAAAAGGCAAAATAACAAAACTCTTTACAGAGAAAAACCCAGCCAGGTGCAAGAGGTTCTTGCTCCTGGCAAAACACCTCACAAAAGCCATTAGTTTTTGTTCTCTTCTTTTTCTAGTAAATTGCCCAGGCAGGACTTTTTGGCTCCTGTCCATTTAGCTATCCTTAAATTTGAAGTGAAGTCCCCCAGATTTTATGAGATCTCTTTTCACCTAATCCAGGAGAGAAACTTCTGGGCTTATTTCCCTTTTAAGGGGACAAAGGAGAGTTTTGTCACTCCATCAACAAGGGGCACATTCCTATAGTGGCCCAGCCTCCAGTGGTGCCCAAATCTCTGACACAGAGCCCCAAGCCCCTTCCCTGCTCCCCAGGGTTGATCCCACCTCCACAGCACATTCCCAGTCCCACCACAAGAGCCCCCAGTACAAACCCGCTCCATTTTGGTGCCCCAAATGCTTTTTCCATCATTTCCCCATGGATAAGGGGGTTGGCTCACGCTCCCATCCAGCCCAGGGCAGCTCTGGCTCTGGGACTGGAGGCTGAAAATGCTGCTCACCTGCTTGTCCCACAGGTTATGAGGAGGTGATCCAGATCCCCAAGGGCTCTGTGCACATCGACATCCGGGAGCTGAACCTCTCCATCAACTACCTGGGTGAGCTGGGGCTGCTGAAATCCCCCCCAGGCCCTGCCATGTCCCTGGGATTAGCAGGGAGATGCAGGGAGAACTTCCCACTGCACCTGGAATGGGGATTTGGGGGTGCCAGGCTGGGATTTGGGGCAGGAGAAGGCAGCAGAGCAGTGTGGGCTGTGTGTCCCTGTCCCGTGTTAGCATCACAACCCTGAGCAAACACCATATCCCTCAGCTCATGGCATCTCCCCTCTGAGATTAAAAACACTCACATTTTCCTCGGGCTTGGTTTTCCAGCCTTGCTCAGTCCTGCTTTCACCACGAGGATTTTCTTTCCCCCTTTTTCCTCCCTGTCCCCCGAGCAATGCAGAGCAGGGCAGGCTGCTCTCCCTGGATGCTGCCGGGTACCAGCAGGACTCTCCTGGCAATGGAGGTGCCTCCATCCCTCCCTGCCCGGTGTGTGGGGACTTCTTTCTGCATTTCTGCGCTCTCAGGACAGTCTTTGACACTCTGGCATCCCTGCGGGCATCCCCGATGGAGGGAACATCCTCCAGCCCCGCAGCATCCCCCGCATCCCGAGCAGGACAGCGGTGCCCGGAGCTCGGTGGAGGCTTAGGAGGGGAGGCAGGAGCAGGAGCGAACGCTCCGATCCCCCTCTAGCGACTCTGCCGGGCAACCACAGCCCTGCTCCGGGCCCCAGCAGCCCCAGCGTCGGCTGTGGGCTAGGTACAAATCACAAACGGGATGGGACTGCTGGGGACGTGCCTTGAGCTGTTTTATTTTTTAGCATCAGTCTCATTGCATGGTGATGACAATGGGAAGATGCCACCAGCTCACATCCCAAGAACTTAATGTTACAACTCACTTTAAAAGTTTTTTGACCAATCACACAAAGCAAAAGCATATTGACAGTATCTATATCTGTATAGTATATATTCTATATTGACAGTAGTTCTATCCAACCACTATAAGCACAGGTACCTTTGGTTAAACAATGCTTGCTTATTTCAAATACAATACCTGCTTGTGAGCCTATTGTGCACAGAGCTCCATTATTAAGCTTAGAACTTCCTAATATCTTGCTAGATAAACTTTTCTGTAGCTTAGGGAGTTATTCTAGACAAGCATTAATACACAGACCATTGTTCTATTTGTCCTTACTTTTCTACTTTATAAATAATTTTTCTGCTGACTTATCTCATGGCTACTGTGTGACGGTGTTCACAGGGGTTCTTGGATGAGAGAAGAGATGAGGATCTGACTCCATGTTTCAGAAGGCTTGATTTATTATATTATTATATATATTACATTAAAACTATACTAAAAGAATAGAAGAAAAGGTTCTAAAGCTAGCTAAGCTAAGAATAGAAAGGAATGATAACAAAGGTTTGTGGCTTGGGCTCTGTGTCCGAGCCAGCTGACTGTGATTGGCCATTAATTACAAACATCCAACATGAGCCAATCCCAGATCCACCTGTTCCATTCCACAGCAGCAGATAATCATTGTTTACATTTTGTTCCTGAGGCCTCTCAGCTTCTCAGGAGGAAAAAATCCTAAGGAAAGGATTTTCCATAAAAGATATCTGTGACACTACCGCTTAGCTCTAATCACAGTTCTGCTGTCTCTGAGGCCTGCCTTTTGCAGCTTTCCCAAAACCCTCTGATTTTGTGGATTCCCAGCTGGGTTTGAGCCTGGTTTCGTGGCCAGGGAGGTGCTGGGGAGGCACTGCGGGTACCTTGGTGCCCCTGTGCCCTCCCTGGTGCCCTTTGGCGATGCTCTGAGCCCTGCAGGTGGGCAGCACCTGGCTGAGGTTGGCCCAGGTGCCCTGAGCTTGGTGCTGAGCCCCCTCCCCTGTGCTGGCAGCGCTGCGAGGGGACAGTGGGGAATATTTCATCAACGGGAAGCTCTCCATCGATCCCCCCCGGCGCTTCGACATCGCCGGCACCACCTTCCACTACAGGAGGTCCCCTGAGGAGCCCGAGTCGCTGGAGGCTTTGGGACCCACCAACATCACCCTCTTTGTCATGGTTGGTACCTTCATACCCCTCCTGGTGGGTCCTAAGTTGGGCTGGAAGGGTCAATGTGATGGTGTTCACAGGGGTCTGAGGATGAGGGAAGAGATGAGGATCTGACTCCATGTTTCAGAAGGAGTTTTATTATTTTTATTATTTTTATTATTTTTATTATTTTTGTTATTTTTATTAATTTTATTATTTTATGATATATATTATATTAAAACTATACTAAAAGAATAGAAGAAAGGATTTCATCAGAAGGCTAGCAAGGAATAGAAGGGAATGGAATGATAATAAAATCTTGTGACAGACCACAGAGTCCACAGTCCCTGCCTTAGGGGGCCAGTGCTTTATCCATTGGGCACTCCCAGATCTCCCTCCCTAATTCTCAGTTTTTCTGCCCTAATCTGTCAGGTTTTGGGATGATTCCACCCTTGAGTGCCTGGCAGCTCATTCTCTGATCGAGCACCTCTGTCACCACTGCTGGCTGCCCTACCAGCACTGGGAGGGCTGGAAGGGGAGAGGGGAATATTCCAGGCTGTTGGAGAGGCTGTGGGATGCCAGCTGGGTGGTCTCTGTGGTGGCACTGATGTCCTGGGGGTGCCTTTCCTGCAGGTGCTGGTGAGGACAGAGCTGCAGGGGATCCGATACAAGTTCAACGCTCCCGTGGGCAGGGACGGCTCCAGCCTCTACTCCTGGCACTACACGCCATGGACCAAGTGCTCCGTGCTGTGTGCAGGGGGTGAGCTCTGCTGCTGGGCTGCTTTGGGGGGACACGTGGGACCCCCCTGTGCTGTGGCTGGGCCTCTGCTTGGCTCTGAGAAGCTCTGGGGTTTCTACACAGCCCCACCCTGCACTCAGCCAGGTGGGAGTTGTGTTAGGGCAAAAAACCTGGGTGCCATCTTCAGCTGGGATACAGGTATGGCTGGAATGACCTTAAAGATCAAATTTTCCTGCTCCTGTCATGGGCAGTGACACCTTCCACTATCCCAAGGTGCTCCAAACCCCAGTATCCAACCTGGACACTTCCAGGGATGGAATCTCCCCACCCTAGAGCCAGCTGGTACTGTGCTGGCTCCAATGTCCCTGTCCCCAGTGGGACATGAGTCCCCTCTGCAGAGCCCCTCCTGTACTCCTGGCACTACACGCCATGGACCAAGTGCTCCGTGCTGTGTGCAGGGGGTGAGCTCTGCTGCTGGGCTGCTTTGGGGGGACATGTGGGACCCTCCCCTGTGCTGTGTTTGGGCCCTCTACACGGGGTCTCTACACGGCCCCACCCTGCACTCAGCCATAGGAGAGTTGTGTCAAGGCAAAGAACCTGGGTGCCATCTTCAGCTGGGCCACACGTATGGGTGGATTAACCCTAAAGATCAAATTTTCCCACCCCTGTCATGGCAGGGACAATTCCCACTGTCCCAGGCTGATCCAAGGCCTGCCCAGCCTGGCCTTTGTCACTGCCAGGGATCCAGGGGCAGCCGCAGCTGCTCTGGGCACCCTCCTAGGGAACAATTCCTGCCCAATATCCCACTCTCACTTTTATAAATGTTGGTCTATTATCATATTGCAGTTAATTGTCCAATTACAGCTCCAGCCCATGAAGTTCCATCCTTGTTTTTCTCTCTCCTGAGATTTGGATCATTTGTCCTTAGTCCCTAGCTGGAGCAGGAATTGTTTTGTCTCCCTGCTCACCATCCCATCATGTGAAGCCCAGACCCACCCACTAAAGCAGCACAGAATCTGAAAAATAGAAAAGCTCAAACCTAAGGCATCACAGCCTCAGCCTCCTCCTCCCTTTCCCCCTTCCCTCTTTGCCCTGGGCAGGCAGCCAGATCCAGTCTGTGGTGTGCAGGAAGCTCTCTGATGGCTCAACTGTCCCCAACCACTTCTGCAGTGCTGACACCAAAGTGCCCGAGCGACAGAGGAGCTGCAACACCGAGCCCTGTCCCCCTGCGTGAGTAACAACATGAGAAATTATTATTTTTATTAATAATAATACTTATTATTATTATTATTATTATTATTATTAATATTATTACTACTACTACTATTACTACTATTATTATTACTATTACTATTATTATGATGCTATTGTTTTTATTATGTTATTGTTGTTATTATTATTAATTTTTTTCTGTTAAACTTTAACAGAAAGTTTATAACGTATGGATTTGTATTTACACTTTGAGATAAGAAATGTTGATTTAGGAGATCAACATTTCTTTGGAGAAATAGAACTATGAAAGGTAGACCCACGGAGAGTAATTTTAGATAATAATAGCTCTGGATAATTTTAGACAATAATATTAGTATTATTAAATAATTTTAGATAATAATATTAGTATTATTATGAGATAATAATGTTTTATATTTTTATTATCTAATATTATTAGATAATGATCATATTATACTAATCTTATCCTAATTATACTAATATTATTAGATAATATTATTAGATACTATTAGTATAATAATAGTATATTTATTATTAATGATATTAAATATATTTTAGATAACAATAGCTTTAAAGCATTTACAACATCGTGTAGAAAAAACTGATAAGTCAAGAAACACTTAGAACATATTGTAATTAAGAAATAGTTAACTTATAATAGCATGAATTATAGCATCTATATTGTCTCACCCTTTGCTTGAGACTAAAAATAGAAAAAAAATTACAATTAAATTAATTTAATTTTAAATTAATTTTTTCATTTAAAATTTAAATTAAATTTATACATTTAGCTTTTAAAATTATATTTTAAAATTTAAAATTTATACATTTAGTTTTTTAAATTAAATTTATACATTTAGTTTTTAAAATTAAATTTTTAAATTTAAATTTTAGAATTAAATTTTTAAAATAAATTTTTTAGAACACCTTTCAGCTACCCCATCTCTAAGTCAAAAAAGGACTTAATCCAAAATACCTGGAGCACAGGCAGGGAGCCAGGGAGGAAGACCAGGGTAGCAAAGAGTGAAATTCCCAAGTCACAGCCCCCACTGGTGACAGTGCAGCTCTGGTGGGGAATGGGATGGGGTTTCTCCTCTGTGTCCCAGATATTCAGTGAGGATTTGTGCCAGCCCCTGGCTGGCTCCTCTCCTGAAGGGGAAGGGGAGATGTGCAGGGACTCAGTGCTTCAGCCAGGGCTGCCTGGGAGGCTGTGGCTGCAGAAGGGCCAGGGCTGTGCGCAGGGCAGTGGGGCCCAGCCCGGCCCAGCCCAGCCCAGCCCAGCTCTGCTGTTCCCATCCCCAGCTGGGCCATTGGGAACTGGTCCGAGTGCAGCCGCAGCTGCAACGAGGGCGTCCGGACCCGCAGCGTGTTCTGCAAGAGGAAAATCTCTGCCAGCGAGGAGAAAACCCTGGACGATGCCTCCTGCCCCCAGCCACGGCCCAAGATGCTGGAGCCCTGCAACAACCAAACGTGTCCTCCTGAGTGGGTGGCCCTGGACTGGTCAGAGGCGAGTGCCCAGAGGAGGGACACAGAGCTGGGCAAGGGCTGAGGAGCAGCTGAGGGCACTTGGCTGGTTCAGCTGCAGCCCAGGAGACTGAGGGGAGGCTCCTCGGGGGCTGCAGCTCCTCCCCAGGGCAGGCACAGGGGCAGGGGCTGAGCTCTGCTCTGGCACAGGGACAGGAGCCCAGCAAGGGCTGCAGCTGTGCCAGGCCTTGGCATGGAGCTCAGGGCAAGGTTCTGCCCCCCGAGGCTGCTGGGCACTGCCCAGGCTGCCCAGGCAATGGTGCCAAGGCTGCCAGAGCTGCAGGAGCTCCCAGGGCTGCTCAGGGTGGGGGTGTTGGGGTGGCTGTGCAGGGACAGGGCTGGGATCAATGATCCCTGAGGGTCCCTTCCCACTGAGCACATTCCAGGATTCCATGGTCTGTCCAGTCTCTGAGCCTGTGTGGAGCTGGCTGTGCTGGCAGTGCAGGCAGTGGGGTCGTGTCTGTCACTCCTGGTGTCACCTGAGCTCTCAGTGGCTGCTGCTGCCCAGGGTGACAGAGCTGGACAGGGCTCTGAGCAGCCTGGGCTGGTGGAAGGTGGAACAGGATGGTCCCTAAGGTCTCTCCCAAGCCAAACCAGCACTCCCAGGGTGCTCAGGGTGGGGGTGTTGGGGTGGCTGGGCAGGGACAGGGGCTGGGATCAATGATCCCTGAGGGATCCAGCTCAGGATATTCTGATTCTGTGATTGACACCGTCCCTCCCCTCTCTGAGGGCGCTGCTCCAGCAGCACAGTGCCAACCACTGTGACATCCATGCAGTGTGACAATGTGGCATCTCAGGAGCCGGGAGAGGTGGGAGCAGCAGGGGAGAGGAACCAGAGCTGCCTCTGTGCCCTCGCTGACCGTGTCCCCTGTCCCTGCAGTGCACCCCGAGCTGCGGGCCCGGCTTCCGCCACCGCATCGTGCTGTGCAAGAGCGGCGACCACAGCGTCACCCTGCCCACCTCCCAGTGCCACGAGGCCACCAAGCCTCCCACCAGCATGAGGTGCAACCTGCGGCGCTGCCCCCCGCCCCGCTGGGTCACCGGCGAGTGGGGAGAGGTAGGGACAGCCCTCCCCACAGGGCGATGGCAGGAGGAGCCTCCCCAGCCCTTCAAATCCTGACCAGAACTATCCAGGGACCCGTGGCAGTGTTTTTTCCCCCCTTTTTGGCTCGTTTGTGGTGGCCCTTGGGGTGTCCCCAGCCTGGAAGGACCCCACAGAAGTCACTGAAGGATCCCATGGGTGGCTGGGGGTCAGCAGGGGTGGCCTGATCCCCCCAGAGCCCAGTGGGGTCACCCTGGCAGTGATCCCTGCATCAAATTCAGGGAACCCTCAATGTAGGGAATGATTGGCATTTGACTCTATGATTCAGAAAAAATTGTTTTATTAAAACTATACTATATTCCAGTAATCCTATATCAAAACTATACAATTGTTTTATTAAAACTATACTCTCTCTCTATATATATATACACCATATATACTATATATACTATATATATATATAGTATATATATACTTACTTGTATATTAAAACTATACCATTGTTTTATTAAACGATATTATATTACAGTAATACTATATTAAATCTATACAATTGTTTTATTAAAACTATACTACAGTAATACTATATCAAAACTATACAACTGTTTTATTAAAACTATACTATATTACAGTAATACTATATTAAAACTATACTAAAGAGATAATATACTAAAGAAAAACCCATGACTGTCTGAGACAGCCAGGACACAGCTTTGAGTGATTGGCTAATCACTCAAAACGACTTTCACTGCTGTCCAATTAACTAAATCACTTTTGGTAAATAATCCCCATAACACATTCCACAAGTGCAAAAATGGGAGCAGCAAGTAGAGATAAGAATTGTTTTCTCTTCTTCTCTGAGGTTTCTCTCTGCGTTTCCCAGGATCAATCTTTGGGAAATTGTTCCTGCTGCTCTCTGAAGGGAGCTGAGGCCACACTCCCTGCCCTGAACACCCCACGAGCTGCAGGGTGATGTGGGGGTGCAGGAGGTTTGGGACAGGCCAGGGATTTAGGGCTGGATGTGTGATCCTCCCCAAGCCCTGCAGAATCAAACCAAGCATTTTTGGGATGCGGGGCCACATCACTCACTGATGCCAGGAAGGGAAGGAACAACCCCCTCCAGCACCCTTTGCACCCCCTAACCCCCATCTGTGCCTGCTGCTGTCACCTCCTGGTGGCCCTGGCAGCTCCCTTGTGCTGTCCCCGCAGTGCTCTGCCCAGTGTGGCCTGGGCCAGCAGAGGAGATCCGTCCAGTGCCTGGCGCACACCGGGCAGCCGTCCATGGAGTGCGTGGAGGCCCTGCAGCCCCCCGGCATGCAGCAGTGCGAGACCAAGTGCGAGTCGGGGCCCACGGACAACCCTGAAGGTGAGGGGCGATGCGGAGGGGACACGTGTCCCACTGGGGACGGGGACAATGGAGCCAGCACAGCACCAGCTGGGCTCTGGGGTGGGGAGATGCCATCCCTGGCAGTGTCCAAGACCAGGCTGGATGGGGTATGGAGCATCCTGGAGCACATTAAAGCTATACTAAAAGAATAGAAGAAAGGATTTCTTCAGAAGGCTAGCTAAGAATAGAATATAGAATAGAAAAGAATGATAACAAAGGTTTGTATCTCGGACTCTCTGTCCGAGCTAGCTAGGCTGTGATTGGCCATTAACTAGAAACATCTAACATGGGCCAATCAAAGATCCACCTGTTGCATTTCACAGCAGCAGATAATCAATGTTTACATTTTGTTCCTGAGGCCTCTCAGCTTCTCAAGAGGAAAAATAGTAAAAAAAGATTTTTCATAAAAGATTTCTACCACACTTGGGCACAAACACAGGCACAGCAAATGAGATAGAATAGTTTTTCCTTTCTCTGAGGTTCGGAGAACGTGAAACCCAGAAATATTCTTGTGAAGAACTGTGCCTTGCTTTTCTCTGTGAAGAGAAATGTGGCTGCCCGGCTGTGACCCTGCTCCCCTCTCTGTGTCCCTGCAGAGTGCAAGGATGTGAACAAGGTGGCCTACTGCCCGCTGGTCCTCAAGTTCAAGTTCTGCAGCCGGACCTACTTCCGACAGATGTGCTGTAAAACCTGCCAGGGCCACTAGGACACAGCGGGACCCCCGTGGCAAAACTGGAAGGCCAAAGCTTCACTGGAGGGCCCTGCCCTGCCCGGGAACCTCCCCTGGCTCCCGCACAGACTCCGGTCACGCTCCCACGGGCGTCACCCAACCCGTCCCCCACAGACCCCCTTGGCCCCCCGAGCTTGACAGAGGCAGGATCCCAGTTCAACCACTGCAGCCCCAGCTGGATGAGCGCTGGGAGAGGGGGGAGCTGGGCAGAGCAGGGACTTTACTTGAAATTCTGATGTTGTTATTTATTCGTAGCGGAGCCAGGTCCCGCTGGGGGAGGCGGCACCGCTCGCCCCGCTCCTGCCTCATCCTGCTCCGTGTGCCCAGGGCACCATCACGGGGCTGGGGCACTCCAGGGGCTGCTGCCCTTCCCTCGGGACCCCAGGGGAGCCAGGGAGGAGGGTTCAGGTGCCTGGGGTGGCCAGCGTGGCTTGTGGCTCCTGGGTGATGGGTGGGGAGGAGCTGCTGTGGGGAGTGGGGCTGGAGCAGGGATTTTGTCCCTTGGTTTGCACCCTGTCACCTCGGGACTGGGATCAGGCCACCCCATGAGCTGAGGGGGCTCTGCAAACTCCCATAGCCACCAGCTTGGATTGGGCTGTTCCCCTGTTTGCCCTTGTCACTTTTAGGACCAGATTTTAGCCCTGAGCTGGGGGCAGAGGTGTGCTGGGGGCTGTATGGGCATCCAGGCTGTGCCAGGCTCAGGGAGAGCAGCACAGGAGGGTGCAGGACAAGGATGGGCCTGGCACAGTGTCCCCAGGGCCTGGCACCCCAGAGACAGCCTCAGCCTCACTTCCAAAGGTGCTTGACTTCCAAAGGTGCTTTGCCTCCAAAAGGTGCTTTGCCTCCAAAGGCAGGTGGTGCCAGTCCCAGTGCCACCCACCCCTCTGCCCACAGGAGGCCTCCAGAGGTGGGAAAAGAGCAGGTTTGACATTCCTCCAGGTCACCTGGTGGCCAAACCTGGGCCAGCTCCTCCACGGGCAGCCTGTGGAGGAGACCCGACTTCAACTCTCCAAAGCTTTTTGTTGGCATTGTAATTGTAATGACGACGATTATTTTCAGGCCTTTCCACATCACAGCGATGGGAAAGCTTTGTCCAGAGCCGTGTTTTGTTCCCTTGGGGCCATCCCTGTGGTGCAGGGAGGGGACAGTCCCCTTCTCCCCCAGCAGAGCCCCCGTGTGTTCCTGTGCCAGCTCCGTTTTTGTGTCCACCTGCTCCTCTCGGCCGATCGCAGCTTCTCTGGTGCTCAGCAAACCTCGTTTCTCTTCCTTCCTGGTGCCATGCTCCATGTTCTGATGGTTTTGGGTGAGGGGAGGGGGTGTTTTCACCATTTTTATATCGATATATATCCTACTGACCAATGTTTAACATACTAACTCTGAGGAGGAGCGACGTAAGGCATGAATTATAATAAAGGAGTAGCTACGATCCCGGGCACGGCCTCTGCTCCCACTTGTGTTCCTCCAGCCTGGGGTTTGGGTTGTGTGATGGTGTTCACAGTGGTTTTTGGATTGGGGAAGAGATGAGGATGTGACTCCGTGTTTCAGAAGGCTTGATTTATTATTTTATGATATATATTAGATAAAAACTATACTGAAAGAATAGAAGAAAAGGTGTCATCAGAAGGCTGGCTAAGACTAGAATAGCAAAGAAATGATAACAAAGGTTTATGCCTCACCTCTGTGTCTGAGCCAGCTGGGCTGTGATTGGCCATTAATTACAGACATCCAACATGGGCCAATCACAGATGCACCTGTTGCATTCCACAGCAGCAGATAATCATTGTTTACATTTTGTTCCTGAGGCCTCTCAACTTCTCAGGAGGAAAAATCCTAAGGAAAGGATTTTCCATAAAAGATGTCTCTGACAGGGTTGGGCACCCTCAGCACCACAATTCAGCCCAAATAAAGAGGTTTGGAGGCAGGGCAGGGTTTTCCTTGGGAAGCAGAGCAGGTGGGAGAGGTGGGGATTCACCCAGAGCTGCTTTAGGATGTGGAGGAGGAATTTCCCCCATGGCACAGAGACACCCCCATGTTGGTGATGCTGGGCTGGGCCAGCATGGGAGGGGGGGATTCTGCCCCTCTGCCCCTGGGCTCAGGTCAGACCCCACCTGCAGAGCTGCCCCAGCCCTGGGCAACAGCAGCAGGAGGACGTGGGGCTGCTGCAGCCAGGCCAGAGGAGCCACGGAGATGCTGCCAGGGCTGGAGCCCCTCTGCTCTGGAGCCAGCCTGGCACAGCTGGGCCTGCTCACCTGGACAGGAGAAGGCTCCAGGGACACCTCAGAGCCCCTTTTGGGGCCTGAAGGGGCTCCAGGAGAGCTGCAGAGGGACTGGGGACAAGGCCTGCAGGGACAGGACACAGGGAATGGCTCCCACTGCCACAGGGCAGGGCTGGATGGGAGACTGGGAATCAGGAATTGTGGAATCCATCCCTGGAATGGAATTCCCAGAGCAGCTGTGGCTGCCCCTGGATCCCTGGCAGTGCCCAAGGCCAGGCTGGACAGGGCTGGGAGCGGCCTGGGACAGTGGGAGGTGTCCCTGCCATGGCAGGGGGGGCACTGGATGGGCTCTGAGGTTCATTTTAACCCAAACCATCCTCTGCAGGGTAACTCTGCAGGGGACAGGGTGGCCAGGAGCTGTCTCAGGCCTCAGTTTCCTGTAGTAACCTCACTCTTCTCTGCACCTCAAGTGGAGGGGGGGAAAAAAAACCCAAAATACAACAACAAATAATATGCAACCAAAAGCATCTCATTCCTAAAACCACCTCCCAGCACTGACGGCCAGGTGACATCCAGCTGTCACTGCAGAGTGCTGGGAGATGTCACCGAGGCTCTGAGCATCCCTGCTGGGCTCTGTCCTGCATCCTGTCCCTCACCAGCAGAGGTGGGGACACTCTGGGTAGGCCCCCCCAAGTCCCTGGTAGCAAAGCTGCCGTTGTCCTCCCCACCCCCACGACCGAATGGTGCAAAATGAGGAAGTGGGAGGGAAACAGAACTCGTCATAATCTTTGTCACATCAGAAAGACAAAATCCAAGTGCTCCGGGATGGCCCCGGGCTGTCGGTGACAGGACATTGAGCCCCTGCCTGGGGAGGGACACAGGGACATCATGGTGAGTGCCACTCTGCTCCCCTTGGGTCCCTCAGGGTGTCACCTCCCACTGCTGCCACCCCAGCCCTCCCCTCCCCACACCCTGGGGCTGCCCCGTGTCCCTGCAGGAGAGGGGACAGCGCTGCCCAGCTTGGGGACAGGGCTGGGGGAGGCCATGGGTGGGATGCAGGGGGCTGGTGACCCCCAGGACAGGGTGGGGAGCAGCAGGGGATGGGGCTGTGCTGCCACACAGGGATCTGGGCATTGCTGTCACTGCTGTGGTACCCACGGGGTGAATTTGTGTCCCCACTGGTGGGCAGAGGGTGGGGTGGGGGTGGCAGCCACACCCCCCAGGCTAACAGGGACCCTCTGGGTGCTGGTGCCATGGTCAAGGCTCAGGGGTGCAGGGAGGGCAGCAGCCACTGGTGGAAGTTGCTGTGGAGGCAGAAGAGGAAGGCGAAAGGGCTCAGAATTGGGAAGATGCTCAGACTGGGGGTGAGGAGCAGCCACAGCTCTCAGCTCTGCTTCCTGCATCCCTGGGCTGATGTGTCCCAGCTATTTCCACCCAGACAGGGAGGGGACAGTGGCCAGGCTGAAACTGAACCTTCTCTCTGCCACCCACACTTGTGGCTGCCACCTCTGCGAGGCTGCTCAGATGCTCCCCAAGGATACACACACTGTCCCCTCCTCCGCCATCTGTGGCTTCCTGGAGGACCAAAGGGCCCTGCAGCCACAGCCTGACCCCCACCAGCCCCATCCCACCCCAGCCCTGTGACAACTGTGTGACAAACTTGTTGCTCTATTCAGCTCTGTGGTTGGTTTTGGAGGTTTTGATGCTTTCTGGGCTTGGTCTGTCTTGACTCAAAAGGTGCCACCTTGGGCTGCATCAGCTCCTCATCAGCTCGATCTGCAATGTTCTTTTTGTGGTTTAACCCACAATTTGAAGCAAACATGAGGCTTTCAAAGCTGCCACACCAAGGGCTGCTCCCCTCCCTGCCCAGAGATCCTGTCTGAGTGCCAGGAGCATCCTGACAGAGGGGTGTGGTGGGGACAGTGCCCGTGCCACAGCTGGGGGTGCTGAGGGGCTCCTCGTGTGTCACCTGTGCCCTTTGGAGCACTGGGGGGCTCCTCATGTGTCACCTTTGGAGCACTGAGGGGCTCCTCACATGTCACCTGTGCCCTTTGGAGCACTGAGGGGCTCCTTATGTGTCACTTGTCCCCTTTGGAGCACTGAGGGGCTCTTCTTGTGCCACCTGTGCCCTTTGGAGCACTGAGGGGCTCCTCATGTGTCATTTGCCTCCTTTGGAGCACTGAGGGGCTCCTCGTGTGTCACTTGTCCCCTTTGGAGCAAAGTCCCTTGAGCACAGGGGCTGCAAAGGGCACCTGGAAGGTGGAGAGGGGACAAATCTCCCTGCTTGGCTGGAGGGTGCAATGGTTTGGGGCAAGTGTCCTTCTCTGGGGCAGAGAGGAATGGACAGAGCAGGGGATGGAGAAACTGCTGCCTCAAACCTCTGGAAGCAAATTTATTTGTGCTCCCACTCCCACAAGGATGTCACCTGCAGCTGCAGATGTCACCTCTGTCCCATGGCACCGAGCTGGAGCAACACCAGGGCTTTAAGGGATCCTAATTCCCCTTCACCCTGATTTTTTAGTGAGCCCTGGCCCTGCAAACCCCACGAGAGGCTCAGGGAAAGCAGGAGCACCCAGAGCTCTGCAGATCATGACAAACCCTTCATTTACCAGCTCTGAGCTGGTGCTTTCCCCCCAGCTGGGCTGCACCAGGTGCCCCAGCAGAGCCAGGAAAGCCCCAGAGGAAGAGGAGGTGAAGACACCCTCACCACTGACACCTCTGAGCATCTCTGAGAGAATCTTTAGGTGTCAGCTCAAAACCTCTGACCTCTCAGGAAGGAAATTCTCATTTTGACTTAATTTGGCCTCAAGCAGCAGCCCGGGGTGCTGTGGCAGCAGCTTTGGGGTGCTGGGGACAGGGCACTGAAGGATTTGGGCTCTTGCCACCCTTCTCCTGCTGAAACTCAGGGTTTGGGGTGAAGCTGGGCAGCTCCTGGTGTCCCTGGCAGCTCCCTGGGTGACACCACAGTGACCTGGAGAGGATGGCTGAGCCTGCCTGTGCTTTTCCAGCTGGATTTCCTAGGGGATATTAGCATGAAGGCAAGAAAAAGGCCTTGAAAAGGAAGAGGAGAAGCTCCCTGGGTGATTTCAGACAGCCCTGGATGCTCTGAGCCCCCTGAGTGATCCCAAATATTAACCCCCAAATCCCTGGCAGCTCCCTGGGTGACACCACAGTGACCTGGAGAGGATGGCTGAGCCTGCCTGTGCTTTTCCAGCTGGATTTCCTAGGGGATATTAGCATGAAGGCAAGAAAAAGGCCTTGAAAAGGAAGAGGAGAAGCTCCCTGGGTGATTTCAGACAGCCCTGGATGCTCTGAGCCCCCTGAGTGATCCCAAATATTAACCCCCAAATCCCTGGCAGCTCCCTGGGTGACACCACAGTGACCTGCAGAGGATGGCTAAGCCTGCCTGTGCTTTTCCAGCTGGATTTCCTAGGGGATATTAGCATGAAGGCAAGAAGAAGGTCTTGAAAAGGAAGAGGAGAAGCTCCCTGGGTGATTTCAGGCTGCTGGGCAGCTCCTGCTGTCCCTCGCAACTCCCTGGGTGACACCACAGTGAGCTGCAGAGGCTGCCTGCACTTTTCCAGCTGGATTTCCTAAGGGGATATTAGCATGAAGGCAAGAAAAAGGCCTTGAAAAGGAAGAGGAG